GCACAGCTAGCCAGAAGGTAGTTTATGCGGATGTGGAATATGAACACAAAAATCTATGTGGTATTTTTTAAAGTGTGTCGATGTGTGACGTGGCTTCCAGTAAATGCGCTTGCTGAATTGCACAATATTTGGCTATTGTGGAACTACAGAATTGTACAACCTGAAGTCAAGTAATATCAGGTTCTGCTGTGATGTAGACTTTAATGTTTCGTACAGCAACTGCACTCATTCAAAACTCTGAACTTGATTGCAGCAAGGCATACATGTGACGTAGAAAACTGTGATTCATGTATTTTTATGACTTATTTTAAAAGTATAATTGCATCGGCAAGGTGATCTGATTAAGTATAGGCTTCACGGTTACTACCAACAAATTTATTGATCTTGACAATTTTGTCTATTTCTGGTGGCAAAACCCAGGAATTTATTGATTCATTCATCAGACATAGTTTAAAAGTGGCTTGATGTTTATGAGTAAGAAAGATATTTGAAGAGTGCTCGGGTATTGCTATCGTATGAGTGATTGGTCGATGTAAGATGTATAACAATTCTAAATGTGAGTGCATACTTCGCATTTCGCTAAAGGCTTCTGGTTGTGAAGGAAAAGGAGGTATTGATTGGTTTTAAGTGGGATATTTTTCAGGCGGGATGGCGAGAAAGTCAGAGTGTTTTTCATGAACAATTAAGATTGCTAAAACCTCGTGGCCTGACGTCTTTTGGCACTGCTCTAGGATCAGCTTTAAGGTTTTTTTTTTCAAAACGTCTTTCAATTAAATATTCAGCACATTCCAGCATGATTACTTGCTATACTAATTGTAGCTGTTCAGGAATCACTTGTGATTGATTTGGTTATTCTCATTTGTAGTTTGACGAAATAACTATTCGTTTGCATGATGGCAGTTTTCAAAATTTTATTTAGGTTTATAAATGTGAATCGTTTGCAAACTGGCATTGATAATTTTGGTGGTGGTCGTTATCCATTTTATATTGAACCGGTGGTTATTATTAGTATAACTGATGGTAACTCTTTGGCATGTCCTCAATATGGAGTTGTTAATGAGGTGGCGCTTAAGTTTCAGGATATCTAAATTTTCTAATCGTGTAGGCAGAATTAATTTTCCAACTTAATTATGAATACAGTATCATTCAGAAACTAAGCATTGCGCTAATTCGTTTCTTGTTGAGTTTTGCAAATTTTCAGACTTTCTACTTTGTAATCAAATATTTCATTACGTTTTTGCTCTTATGTGCTTCTCATATGTAATATATTTATTATAATGGCAGTTATTTGTAATTAAATGGGTAGTGGAATATTATATTGGAGAAAGACGGTATTTTGGTATCAAAATTTGTTAGTTTTTTAGATTAAAGTTGCTAAACCCACAACAATTGGTAATGAATTGATCGAAGAACCGTTCAGATGGGATCAGCGATTGTATTCGATAGTTCTACGACTTAATGGTAATCCACCTATCGGGAAAGTATCCTCCGGAATGAATATACCTTCTGACAGTAGCCCTATTGATGCAATGTGCATAGCAACTGGAGGTCTGCCATAATTAATATTTATCACAAGATTTTTCATGTTAATGTTTATGGAATCTTCACGACTGCGTGTTGTTCGCTATTATCGATCGATGAAATCACCTAAACGTATTATTTTAAGTTTTCTTTTTTACAGTATTCAGCAATTTCAGGACGATCATATTGTGTTTCATCTCATAAAATGCTGTCTTTGTGTGTTGAATCAGTTGTTCAGAAATTGCAACAGCAGGGGACTGTGTTGCATTTTGAGAAATATGGATCTGACCCTCAACCAAATATAGGTATTTTTGGAAGTTTCCTAGTCATCTTTGTTTGATTTTCAGAGCATCACCTTGTATAGGCTTTTTGAGCATTGCAAAGAGCTAATAAAGAAGGATTTGAAACTCATAAAAAGTCTCTATGTTTCAATTTTTTCAGGTCGCACGAATGGTATTGTAGAAAATGGTAATTCAAAAAAGAGTGATGAATTAGCATCTCTTACTACTGCTAAATCATCAAATACAGAAAACTGGCGTACTGTTACATGTACTATTTACTCACGTGCATCTAGATCATATCCTGGTCACTGGCCTATACCAGAAGCATTTTGGCCTGATCGAAGCATGTTAGTTTAGTTTATTGCTTCTTTGTAAAATGTATATTCGAAGTATTTCTAAGAAAACTTATATTGTCTTATTTTTTGGCATAGTTTGGAAAAAACTTCTCTTGATTTTCAAAATTTCAGGACAAATTTACCACCACGCAAAGCACATCCAATTATTTCCTTTCGTTGTGAATCTTGTGAACCTCTTGTTTGTCAGGATTTTCCTTTTGACAAATATGAGCTTGAGCCTTCACCTTTAACGAGGTTTATATTAGAGCGTAAACAACCTGGAGTTTGTTGGCAAGTACGATTTAACTTTGATTTTTGAGTTGAATTTTCAGTAAGTTCATATTTTTTCTAGCCCCGGTGATCATTGCATCATTCGGCTGCTTGGAAATTCGTTTGCGAAATTTCTTCATGGTGCGGGCGGGGCATATTCCCAGGAGCTTGAAGCGAGCTGAAAAGCCAATCGCATGTTAGCCAGCTCAAACTAAGGTATTCGAACCACAGAAAATATGACCAGAGAGTGGATTGAAACCGGTATTTGATGATTGGCAAAGTGAGTCTCTTTTAGAAGACCCACGTACGGTGTATCTGGCACTGTATGATCCGTCTGCAACCATTTGGTGACACGTGCCGGCTATTTCAACTCCATTGGGTAAACATTTCAGGTTTTTGTTCGTAATTCGAGTATTTCTGGTAGCTCTCCAGCTCCTTTCGGATACCTCAAAGCAGCCACTAATTTATCCTGTGTGAATTTATTCATAATGCCTTATAATTATCCACTTTTACTCCCTCTAATAGAAGAAATTAAAAGTGATTCAAAAGCTAAAAACAGTCACTCATGGAGATTGCGTCTAGAAAAATACTTAACAACAGTACCAAGTTATTATATACAGGTGCTAGTTTCATCTTTGTTAATTATAATATAATGCATAATTTCCTGGAAGTATAAATTGGAGTCTCAGTAATGTGATTTCAGCATGGCATATGTTTTTGACTAGCAATTTCTCATAGAAAAAAAGAAAATTTCTCGTTTTAATGTCGACACCTGACCATTTTTGTTCTTTCTGTTTTTTTTTTACTGTTCTATGTTCACACATCTATTTGTCTTTCGATTTTGTTTCAGTTTCTTTTTCAGCCATTAAAAAAAGCATTTTCTCGATTAAATATCTCACATCCAATGTTAGAGCCTGATCAGATGCAACAATATTCTTATAATATATTGTCTTATATTGCAAAAGTAAAGCATATGGCTCGTGAAGAATTTGAATCTTTGTGTGGGACCGTGGCATCGTCGTTACAAGTCCCAGTTCAGCCATTATCTTTGGTTTGTTATTGCTCTCTGCATTATATATCTTACCATTATATGTGAAATTATTCATTTGCTTCTATCCATGTTATCACTTATTTTAGGTCGCTGTGCAGAAACATGCACGACTTGTAAGTAATTGTAATGTACAAAAAATATGTGGACATATGAGCGGCGTTGATAGTTTTCCAGGATTCAAGGTTATTTTCCCAAATTTGTTTCGAGAGTTGTAATGTTATATTGATAACTGTTTGCATTTAGTTCTCTTTTAATTTTTTGGAGTACTTTGAATATTTTATGGTTTTTTTCGGTTCTATACTCTCTTCATAATTTTTATAACGTGGTCGTGGGTCATGAAAACGGAAATATTTATCAAAGCAGTGAATTGCAGGTACAAATCGAGTCTCCCAAAGTATTAGTTGCACCATCCATACAATTCCGAAATCCTTTTGAAATTAAACGTGATAAACTTTATGAGCAAGTACAGAAGATGCGAATTAATTTAATGCAGCAATTCACCATGGGACAAATACCTATATTTGAAGGTGGCAAACCGGGAGCAAGTATCAAGTTGCAACATGCTGGTTGGTTTTTTAAAAATTTTTGCTATTATTTTAGTCGAAAGTGTTCAAATTTATTTTCATTTTATTTTTTAGAAGACTTACATAATCTTCCAATCAGCCAGATGGGTAATTATCAAGAATATATCAAGAATTTGGAAGCTATTGGACGAGGCCCATTAAGAGAAGTTGAACCACAAGCAATCCGTGTGCATGCTTTTGGAAATCCTTTTAAAATCGATAAGGTGTGCTTTGCTTAAAAATTAAGTTGCTTTTTATTCTGGATAAAATGTAAACTTTCTTACCTTATGCAGCTACAGTATTTTAAACTAAAAAAAAATCTGCAGAAAACTATGGCAGTTGATGAAGTGGGAGAAGGAAGTCTGTTGGGAACGTCTTCTAAATTGGAAACTTTGAAAAGACGTCTTTCAACAGGATCCAGTATTTCAAGTTCAGATAGTAGTCATCCACCTAAACGGAAAGCTGGTCCTTTGGCACCTGATTCATTGTCTCAGTGGCGGTATGTTCACAGTATTCATTAACTAATCATTTCGGAATCTGAGTCCGATCTGCATAATCTTTTTAATCTTTAGGAGACGACGACGATCTAGGTCTGCATCCTCATCCATCTGCTCATCGTCTGATCTCCAGTCTATTGCTTTTTCATCCGCTCCTTCCGATAATATTCGTATGTTTCATTACTTTTGATCTTTTTGTACCAAACAAGTGTTTTATAACTTTATACTTAACATGTGCTCACAAAATTTGATTTTTTCCAAATAGCTTTTGAACATTTTAGAGATAAATACGAATAAAGCCTGTCAACCATCCACATCAAATGTCAATGGTAACGTTCAGCCAGGGTTAAAAGGTGATTATACTGCGGAGAAAGCTCTTAAGAGCACTTCTAGTGAATGTCGGTTGTCACCCCTGGAGAAAAGGATACGATTAGAAAATCCTTCACGTCTAGAAGAGTCAAAATTACGAGAAAAGAAATTGCTTCTAGGCATATTTGTTAGAAAACTCACGAACGGTACATCGTTTTTCGTTTATCTTTAAGCATTCTTTAAGCATATTTCTGCTCTCTAATGCTTCTCTTTCTGCTTCTTTTTTAGTATTTGTCTGTCCAGAAAAAAATCAATAAGCTTGGTGGTTAATTGTAATCAGAAGCAGAAGCTAGTTAGAATTGAGTAATTTAGTATCTAATAAGAGTACGACTTTGTTTTCACAATTTTTGTAGAAAAATTTTTGTTTCAGCTACAAAAGTGATGTCAATGCAGAATGCAGAACTTAAAGATCTTTGTCTTGTTGATCGGAGAATATGTCTACGCTATGCATTGCGTGAAGCCAGGCGATTCAGGAGGAAAGCTCTAACGGATCTGTTAACCGAGGAATTAAATCAAATACCCTCGAATGCCACTAGTAATGAGATTTTGTAGCACATGATTTAAATGCATCGGCAATGTAGAGTTTATCATGACGTGTTTCTCACTTTTATGAGAGTAGATGGTCTTTCTGGCCGTGTAGTGAGGAAGACTAGACAAGGCGAGGATACTCTCAAGTTTTGTTGGTCGATCAGACGCAATAAGACCTTAGCGAGATTTCATCTTAACCAATTGTTATGTGATACAATTGTACTGTTTGTTCTCCATCGATCTCATTGTTCCGCACATCTCGACTATTTGATGTACTTTTATGTCGAGAATAACTGTTTGCTCACTCAGGCGTATGTTTGCCTTTGTTACCACCAAATCTCTTCTATGTTTAGCAGTCACAGATCGGTCTTTGTGAATATAGACTTTGTATTACATACAAACTTGAAACATTCAGAAATATTTGCAACTTATCACTGTACAAAATGAGAAAATTTTTGCAGTTATTCCATGAAATGTCCAACTAACAAGTAATGCATTTTAAGTCCCAAGCATTTCATTAACTGATACCACAGAACTTCGGACTGTTTTGATGTAAATAGCTTGTCACTTTTTCATGTGTATACGTGTATCCTGTGAAGAAATGTACTTTTTAGTGTCATGCCATGTTAAAATGTGTTGTAAATTATCTTGGCTTTTTGTCTTTGCGAGTGAGAAGCTACCACATCACTCAATATCTTTAGAAATCAGTGTGTCTGAATACTAATCTAGATTGTAGACCAATTTTTAATTTGCCACATAAGTATACATTGAGCTGGAAGCATTGTAGCTGATTTTCTTGTCAACTTAATTGTTTCTGAGCTTATCTACCTACTATTGTGTAGTACAGCGTGCGGTGAACATGAAATTGTATGAAGCTCTTAAATACTGTATTTCCCTTCTGGCACGTATCGTAACTCAACATTATCCTCCGTTCCATGTCTTGAGAACAATTTATTTAAAAACATTGTTTAGATCAAGATTGAGAGCAAAATCTGTGATTTACCAACAGCATGTGCAATAACAGAAGAAAGTCTGGCCTGGACAAGTAAAGTTTCATTCACTAACCTATACCCGATTTGTAATCATTGATTTTCGAAAGTAAAGTTTCATTACAGATCTGACCGAGCACACTCAAGACATTCAGAGGGTTCTTAATGTTGTCTCTGAGATTCGCTTACTAGATTTTCATCATATGATGCGCTTATCTACCACGGTATTTAAAAATAGCTCTATATATTAGTTTTTCGTGCTACAGATTGTTCGCGTTATAAAACCAAAGATCTTGTCCATCGCGTTTAGAGGTTGTACAGCATGAATACCGTAACAGCTAATCTTATTCAAAAAAGATTGGATGTGACAGAAAGTTTGATTAGTGGTACTTCGCAGTGCTTAGTAATATAGCTGACTTTCACTCCGTTACTTGAAGTGTGAATGCAATGTGGGAGCAGTAATGCATGACTCAACAGAATGCATCACGCATAATCTACAGATATGACCTGAGATTGTGTTACCTGCAGCAATTCGAAAATATTTACCGTATATCATTATCTGCAAGGCATTTTAGTTATTTAGGTAACATAGATTAAATTCATACAGATAAGCAAATAACAGGATTTACAACCATTATTTATAATCAGTCATTGATAAAGTGCTTCTGATAGTCATTCAAGAACTTCTCACTTCTTTTATGGTCCATAAATAACGAATAAGCTCGTTTGAGATCCACTGGTGATACCTGAATGCTTTAATATACCTGAAGCTCAATTCATCGCAACACCGTCGCATTCGCATTAACTTGTATGTGCAAGTTCAATAAACAAAGGATTGTAATATTTATTTAATTTTAAAACTATTCCTACTTTTTCGCCTCGTCTTCGTTCGCGCAAAATGTTTCCAGTTGAGATCAGCTGCATAGCATAGCGCAGTGAAGTTTTGCCAGCTAAAAGCGTTAGGATACCGAAACCATCTTCTTCCATTTCTACGGATTCTTCCTGCGCACGAATTCGCAAAATATCTTCGATATCTTTTGTTGAATATGGCTTCGTTCGAATTATTAGTGATCTGAATGAATTAATGACATGAAATTTATACTTAAGTCGCTGAATTTTTTAACGGCTTTTTTTTGGAAAAGATTACGAAAGATTCAAAATTAAGACCACCTATCTAGAAGATCGATTGGGATCCCATGTGGGCTTTTTATTTGAGTCCCACGAATGAACTCATGTCCTTTATTGGTAGCAATTACAAGAATAGGTGAAAGATCAGATTCGATGGCTCGATTTAAAAATGAAAAACACTCTAAATCCAGCATATGAGCTTCATCAATAAAAAGTACTCCTGGGACCACGTCGGCTTTATTTTCTTCTCGCCATTCAACCACCTGTAAATAAGGTTTTCCAGAAAAAAGCAAATTTATACTATGATTATTATTTACTGCATTAGATAAAATTTGAGGATTTAAACAATAGGTTTGAATGAGTGTAAACTCGAAATTCCTTCCCATGTGAAAACGTAGTTACCTTCTTGTTAATTTGTTCCCTGATTTCATTTTTAATTTCCCCCGTGTCTCCTGAGAACAAGGCTAGAAAGCCTTGTGTTCGTGAGTTGATTACATCAATTTCATGAAGAGCGATCTAGAAAGGCAAAATTTAATGTTGCTGTATTTTTAAATGCATTGTTTGAATGAAATACTTGGAATTTTTAGTCGCACTATCGTATACGTTCTCAATGAAACAATGGGTACTACCCATGACAGATTTCTAGAATATCAGAAGTGATCAGAAAAAGAAAAAACATAGAGATAGATAAATTTATATGAATTCAAGATCACTTCTGCAAATCATTATTCATACAATTTTTTCACTAAATGAAAGTGCGAAAATTCTGAGACACACCGTATGAACAGTTTCTTTTCGTTTTTGGATTTCACCTTCAGGGCACCTTACAGGTTTTGTTTGTGGACCCATTGCATCATAATCATAAGTACGAGAAAAAGATCGACCAATCTTAGTTATACGACCGGAAATGCTCACAAATTTAATATATATGGATACTCAAACTAGTAAATTTCTAGAACCATCTTCCTAATTCGCATGCATGACCGAAAAAATATAATGGATATGCTCGTTGAAAGGTAATATTGATGTTGCTTTATTTTTTGTTGCATCGTTTACATAAAATACTTGTAACGTAGAAGTAAGCTGACGATTTAAAACAAGCTGAGTTAATCATAGTTATATCCGCAAAAGCTGACAAATTTAATATATTTGGGCGTGCATTTCCTTTCTACAATCTCATACTGTTGACATGCTTATTTTTCACTGCTTTTAACAAAACAGAAATTAGTTAACTTATGAGAAATTAGTTAACTTAGTTTACAAAAATTAGTTACTTAATAAGTAAACTACTTACAAGTAGCAAAAAATACATAACAAAAAAAAACCTGAAGCTTTATCGATCTGCACGACATCCCCAGCTGATATTCCTTGCTTTATGCATGCCTCGATCATTTTATTACCAAGGTCATAGATCGTTTCCATATCAGTTGTTTTCATGGTAAGCCTTCCTACTTTAGCACCACCACCAGTAGCAGGACGATCAATTTCAATGCTCACAACTTCCCCTTCTAAGACCTACAATATTGTTCAAGTCCACAAATAAGTTTGATAGTATTTGTAACATCAGTGTTGACTGCTATAAAATACTTTATATCTAGGAAGATAAAAATTAGTCTAAGAAAAGCAAAGTGACCACTCAATAAATTTCTTAAACATACTCATGCATCGAGCAACTATAAAATTTACTTATTGCTCAAGTTCATTTTGTTTGTTTGAAATATAGTACAATAAATCCAGTAGCTAATACAGAGTTCATAAGATTATTTATTAATGCATTTATATTCTTTGCCAAGATTACTAGATTTTCCCCATAACCAAACCTTTACTTTTCTTAAGTACGCAGCAGTAACTCTAAGAGAATTAAAAACTAGATATTCTTTCAAATACACGTATCTCAGAAAAGATACATAAGTTTTGACAGAAAAGAAAATTTTTTCAACTAGAAATAAGAGTTTGAAACAGTTACCACTTATTTGAGATTGTTTTGACAACGCTCTTTGTTGAATTATTTGATAATAATGTATTTTCAATCACAAACTCATGCGTCAAAACTTGAGTACTCACATAATACTGTCAAGTTAATCATTTATATTATGTTCTTTATATTCTTACTTCCTATACAGTTAATGTCTGTGCTCAAAAGAAAAGCAGATAAAATTCAACAAATAATCTTGAAATTAATACCTCTGTTTCTTCTTTGATTCGAACACCTATGGCTTTCCTAAAAGCTTGCATCAGTGCTTCTGTTTTGCTCATTTCCATAGAGAAGACTTCAGAGGCTGTAATTGATACAAATGGAGTATCCTCACCTAGAGCTCGAGAAAGACCCATTGCAATTGCCGTTTTGCCGGTACCTGGTTCTCCCGTGAATAGTACTGCTCGACCAGATATTTTTCCATCCTTGAAATAATTTGAAGATCATTGATTTCAGAACATAACAAATTATTCACCGTTCGACACCAATTGTGGTGTAAACTGTAATTAAGATGAGTACATACTAAGTTTTCGTAAACTAGAAACCGCATGTATACATTCACATCGAAAAACTAAAGCCAGTAGTACTACGCTATACAATATATTATATTCAATACTGAGCATTACTTCTTAATTTTTCATAGTGTGAAATAAATATATGCCAATGAGGTTTATAAAATGATTTTTTTTAGTATCATCAGCTGCAATGCTCAGTATTGAATATGATACAAAATGAGTCAGTATGTCAAGAACAAAGCTTCCTTCTCAAATCACGAAATCATCCCAAATAATCACAATTTTGGGAGATACATTTCTTTGCGAAATGAAAAATAACGAACTTGAATCATTTTCACAATAATTCCAGCAGCTCGTCTTGCTTCTAACTGTCCAACCATTCCTTCAGATACTCTTTGTGGCTCCAAATTCTCTGATAATCCAAGTCCTTGAATATGTGAATGAGCTCCGATTCGTTCCATTTTTAGCATATCACGTACAACTATGTTACTTACCATCGTCATCTTCCTCAAAAATTAAGAAATTGAAAGCAAGAATGACGATTCGAATGATTTTAAGTAATAACCTTCAAATAATCGCACTTAATATGCCTAAACAATAATTTTGTCCTCTTTCTCTATTCATTCACAGATGTTCCATGTCAGAAAAGATCGTTGTCCCCCACTGCATCCTAAAAGTTCTGCATAACGTCACATGCTGACTGCTTCAACTATTTGATACGTCATTATATCACAATGCTTAAAATGTTATGAAAACATTTATCCCTCTTCATCGTCAATTCCAGGAATGAGATTGAGCAGCAATCAGAAAATGCTGAGCAGATGTAATTTTTAATGTAATAAGGAATGAATTAAAAATCTGAAATGAAATATGAAAGTTGAAAAAATTAAATTTCCTGAAATTATTAATTAGAAATAATAGGCTTTTATAAGTAAGAAAAATAAACTATTAAGAATAGCGGAAATAAATTTTTTTCGATCCTTACTTTTACTGACAAAAAATTGGTCATAACTTTGTCAAGTAATAAAGAATGTGAAGATTTGCTGAATTACTAATTCACTTCCATACTTTCACTTTCCTTGATGAAAAATCTTTCACAAATTTCATTAATTTTCAATTATATTTTAGAGTAACAATACTGCACAGGCAAGAAAGGTCTATAATAAAAGTAACTTTCGAAGAAAGGTTTATTTTGTTAGCGATAAAAAATAACAGTTTTTGGAGAAAATAAGTAAGAAATAAATAAGTAGTAAGTTTTATCTTTTTTCTAGTTTCGAATTTAAGCTGTTTAAGCTAATTCTTGCCTTCGAATTATTTTGACTTATGGTCAAGATTACATAGTTTTGCGAATCATAACAGCTTGAGAAGCTTCAATATTTCAGAAAACAATAACTTGCTACATTTTATAGATGATATTTTGGAAATGTTTGATATTTAAAAGGAGCGCCATATCGTAAGTGAAAATCTCTATGACAATTATCGTTATTAATTGGTTACCATGGCAACAGCCAATGAGATTAAAGCATATGAAAGTTGGTGAGCTGAACGGTTGGGTTTGTCATTGTCAGTTAGGTCGCTCTGTGGGTCGCTAGGTCGTCGTTTCCTCTCTACCCTCTTTATTGCTGCGGTCGATTTGTGAGTTGTTATTCTTGATAAGATTTACGCAATTCTTTTTTAAGCCTGACAAATTCTTGTTTTATGTCAGTTTTCAATTAATTGCGCACCAGATTACGTGTTTTTAATTAGCAGTAAGATGTTTGTACATCCATGGTTTACTCAAAGCATGCGTTACTGAAGCTTTATATAATGTTTTTTCTGTGGAAATTAGTAAAATGTGATGAGGATCAGACGAAATCCTTTTACTGTCAAAAAATCCAATTTTTCAAGTGTGCATGGTACGAAAAGGTCCCTAGGAGCTGATGATAGTGCACCATTATTAGCATAGAGGGCATGCAAGAATATCCTAGGTGACTAAAGTAATGGATGGTTGGTGTATTTTTATTTGCGGGTTGATATCTGGGAAATCTTTTTTAAATTCCACAGTGCAGAAATGGAAAGAGTATGCATTTGCTTAAAAAATTCAGTAATGTGATATGGTCCCTCAAAATCAATGCTGATGCGTCGCGTGTTGCACTTAGTCCCTCCGCGTCGCGCTGCATGTTGCACTTGCTCGATGTGCGTGTGCATTAGTACTCTTTACCGTAACGTCGATCGATGCTTTCTCTCTCTGCTACACAACCTTTTCCAATTGTCTGATGGCCTGCGACGTTGTATTTTCTCTCTTCTTTCTTGCTGTGAATTGCAAATTGCAGCATTGCGCAGCGAGATGTATAGCGTGGATTTGCTGACGTGTCAGTTGCATTGTGGATCGATCGATATAATATAGAAAGCTTTGTTTCCAGGAAGTGATGCGTGTGGAAGGTTTATTGTACGTGTTGTATGACACTATCGTTTTGTAGGCCAGTGTGACTTACATTCTTACCGCATTTCGGTTCTATACTTTCTCTTAGATCGAAATTGGTAATTAGCATTGCTCGAGAACTTAGAGTTGTTCACATTATTAATTGAAACTTTGTTTTTGTCAGTGGTAATATTTAGCATGCTGTTAAGTAATTCAATTTATGAAAATTTCTACACTTTAGTACCAAATTCTGGGAGAGATTAGAATGTGCGAATGTATGTAGAGATTTGACTCATGCTTTTTGTAGCTTTGTTCTTTGTGGGTCTGGTGGAGAAGATGAAATAGTTGTACGGAATCGAGTGGTGCGAAATGTTGAAACGCTGGAATTTGAAGGAAAAATGTTTAATTTGTTCTTGTAGTGCTCTGTGTGCTTGAAAGCAAATGTGTGTCTGAATTGTCAAACTATCCTGTTGCGCTTGGAATTACATGATCTGTGCTCATCTGTCATGTTTTTAATGGATTTTAATGTCCATCAATGATTTAGTTAGGCATCGGAATGATTATTGCAGAGTTGTTACAGGTGAAACAATTCGTAGATGTCAGTGTCTGCGGCTTCAACTTCAAATGCGAACAGCAGTAGTAACGAGCCAGTAACAACTAGTAACAATGCACCAGCTGCTGCTCAAGAAAATCCATCAGCATCTGATGAAAAGGTGTCTCAAACAGATTTAATTGATAATCAGACTGGTGTATCTCAGAATGGCACGGAAGCTCTGTCAGAACAACAGGTTGAGGATCTTGATAATGATGACAGTGGTGCAGCAGATGGTACGACATCAGCTAACAGCTGGGAATCTCCCCGTCAGGTTGCATCATTTTTTCACCTTTCTGTTATTAGTATTTACTGAATCATATCATATGCTTTGACGTCACATAGTCTCTTATTGCATCTGACTGTCTTGACTCCAGTTTCACAGAGTTAGATTTTGTATTGAATTTCAGCTTTTAAAATTTATTATCCTAAGGAATTGCAGGAAGCCATCAACGGTGTAGTTCAGCCTCGTGTGATTCCACCACCAGGTAAACCCACACGATATACGAATCAGTTGGATTTTATGCTAAAAGAAGTTTTAAAACCGGCAATGAGGCACAAACATGCTTGGCCATTCATGAAACCTGTAGATGCTGTGCGATTAGGCCTACCGGTATGTGTACCATCACCTACTGAAATTACTGCTTGTTTAATTTGATGGACGCTTTGTTGGTTTTTTCTGTGACTTTCATTACTTTTGTTTCGAGAGAAAGATTTCTAATGGTGAGGATTGAACTGATAATTTGTTTGAAGGACTATCATAAAGTGATCAAGCGACCTATGGACATGAATACCATTGAAAAACGCCTGCGCAATTGTTATTATTATTCGGCAAAAGACTGCATGCAAGTAAGCTTGTGTCATTTAATTTTAAGCAGTGTGTGTATTTTAAGCCTTACGAATTTTCCTAAATATGTTTAATACAAAGGTGGGGATCATTAATGTATTGTTGATTCCGGAAACTGGGAAGAGTTATTTTGTCTTTATAAATGTTCGTTGATTTCAATAATTTTTGCTAAAAAATGATTCTGGGCTCGCAAACTCTTCTTCAAATTCGAGTTCATTAGCTCAAAAATTATGTAGTGCAACATATTCCACATTATAAGCGCAGTTCATTGAAGTGGTATTTCTGTTCTATTTGATTAAAGAAAATATGCTGTTCTATTGGTATTAAAAATATTTTGAACGGGAATTATTTTTAAATTATAATCCTGAATTATGGTGAGGTGGTAGTGTCAGAGTTGTTGCGTTGGACTGATTTTTAAAAAAGTCATTTGCAAAGAGAACATCGCAATGCAAGCAATTTCATAAAATTTTACTGGAAATGGAATCAGTTGAAAATTATGTGGCACTTTTTCCTCTGGAGTATATCATTTTTTGGGCTGCTTCATCTCCATTCACTCCGAAATTGATCGCTATTAATTTTGTCATAGTCTCTGTTTATAGTTTGGTAGTAGAGAGAAAATCTTTTACTGTTGAGCAAAATTGATACAAATCCACAGTAGTAGATTCTTTGCTATTCAGCTCACCTTACATGATTTTTGAAATGTCCAAATATCAATTACTTTTTTTGAGCTATATACGTATTAGATCTCTCATTTTCTTTATTCTGCGTACTATTTTGCTGCAACACGGAAGTATGTGTGTCTTTGGTTTGATTTGTTTCATTATTTTACATTAGACCAATCATGTAGTTTTAAGTAATAAATAGATATTGTCCATGGTGTTATGTTGGCAATTCAAAAGTGATTAATAAAAAACAATAATTTATATCGACAAGAAAAACAGCTTTATAAAGATTTACAGAAAAAGACTTCATCATGAGAGCATGGTAGTTAATATGTAAATGAATTTCAAGTTATTTTTCTTGTTATATTTTGTTCAAATATTGCTAGGGAATGAATTGTGGGAGAAGCCTAGATTAAAATAGTACCAATTTTATCTGTTTTTAATGGATGTGGAATGAGTTCTTTGCGATATGCACAACAAAAATCTGTTTTCAGAGAACTATTTAAGAAACTTATTTCATGGTTTCGGGACTTCTGAAGTGTTTTTATTTTCTGACTTGCTATTTAATGTTCGCAGAGTTCACTTGATTCAGGTCAAAAATCAGTTTCATTGATATATTGCTAGACTTTTTGCCTAAGCTTCTACTGAAGAAAAAGTAAGGTTGTAGATTACATGTTGCCTTATACATACTGATTAAAACAATCTAATGAACATTTTTTCATATCTGATTGGTCAAAGATGTATCTATTTTCAACTATGATATATTTGTCTTATGAGCATTCTTTGGAATGTCAATGCAGTAACAGTTCTATATTAAAGCTGCCGTATTGTCTTTCAAGAACTGATAAAGTTCATATGATCTCTTGTTGAGTTACTGGTTGTATAATAATTTCGTTTTCTGTCATATAGCATCCTTCCCGTTTGTTATTACATTGAACGTTTATGATATTTTCTGGAAGTCACTTGAAAGTATGGGTAGGGATATAGTAGCTTCCAGTTTTCGATTTTATTGCAAACATCTAATTCCCGTCTTCTGAATAGCTTAAGAATTTCCCATTTTTTAATGTGCCTCATGGTCGTATTCTCGACATTGAATTATAGATTCTTTTACAGTGGGTTTAGCTAGATTTACGAATATCATTAGATTTAAGGACTTGGGTTCAATTTTCGTCCTGAAAACACAACTCTAAAAATGATTTTGTGTGACACCTCCCTTAATTTTATGATCTCTTTATACTGGAAGATTGTGCACATGGAATATTTGAATGCTTCTTTTGCACTTCGTTAAGACCATTCTGTAATCTTATTTATTTATATAATAAACCTAACTCAGCATTTACCTAGACCATTTTATCTACACACCTATGTTTTCTTGTTTCTAAACTTCCCTTATTACATTATTTTTCACTACAATCATAATCCCATCGTGTCAGTTTCTGAACTTTAAAATTATAGTTTTTTTAATCGTTCTTCTTCTGTTTCTACAGTCAGAACATTGCATGCAATTTAACCCTCTCTTTTTTTCCTTTTAAATACTAATCTGCACATAATTCTTCAGTTGGAGTGGATGGCTGTTGTTGCAGCTTAAAACATTTGTTATACGAAAAATGTTGCCACCTTAAATCTTGAAATAGCTAGCAGCTAAGCGCGGTTCTCTTTGTTCAGGACATAATGACAATGTTCAACAATTGCTACACGTACAACCCTCCTGAGTATGGGGTTTATATGATGGCGAAGAATCTGGAACAGTATATTCTCACCAGACTCGCAACGATGCCCCCTGAAGTAAGATTTTCCTAATTCATTAGTCTCTTTCTGCTCGCTTTCAGGATTTTGAGTCCATTTTTTCCAACTGCTACAAATTCAACCAAAATGAAGACGATGTGTCACTTATGTGCAAGAATGTGGAAAATTTGTACAGGGAAAAAATGAAACTTCTTCCGTCACAGGTATTGCAGTTTCTTATGCTGGCATATGCAACTCTTGAAAAGAGGTTTGTTTTCTAATTCTTGTCGTAAGTTTCGAAATAATTGGGTTTCATTACTATTTTGTAGGAAGTGGAAATTCCGCGTCCAACGACTAAACGGGCTGCAGGCAAGTCGAAAAAGTCTGTTGGTCGTATTCCAGTTATAAAAGGAGGTAAATTATTCGTTTTATTTTTAGCTGACATGAGTTTTGTGCTTTCATCTTTCAGTGATTCATATTTTTCATTTGGAGGTAGCCGTGAATCATCTGTTTCCGTCCAGCGTGGAGCAGCAGACAGCTCGTCAATTTTAGATGCTTCTGCAGATGGAAGTATTCATACATCCGCTACAGCTTCTGTTGATGATGTTCATCCAACTTCGTCTCAAGCACCTGTACAGCCTGTTCTTCCATCAAAGGTTTTGTTTTTTTCACTAATAATTTTTTTTTCATTTATGAGGCTAACCTTCGGATATTTTTGATGACTTATGAGTTGTTTCAAGTTTCCAATGTACCATGAAATATGAGCCAGCAATCTCAGTGTGAATCTTTATAGGTTCAGAAAGGTGTTAAAAGGAAAGCTGATACTACAACATCATTTGGTGATGACGTAGTGAGCGCAAAAGTTGCAACACGTCGTGAGTCCGGTCGACCTCCGAAGAAACCTAACTATTTTGTTGACTATAACCAGTTGAAACCACGTTTTAAAGGAAAGCAGACAGAACAGATGAAATTTTGTCAACGGCTTATAAACGAACTATTTACAAAGGTATACTTACAATTTACCTCTATGACCATCACGTTAATTAAGGTTTTATCGATTCTCATCGTTTTAGCTTCTAGTTCTTTTATTGTCTTGGATGTACTTTTACAAGTTTCTTCCAAGATAGATTATTTGCTCACTCCGAAATTCCTCAGTATTTCTACTCGTATTTCTTGTAGGAGACTGCGGTTGAGTCTGTAATTAGGATTTTTTAAGATAATTTAAATTTTGATTTAATCTTAAGTATCTAGAAATGCAAGTCCTTCACTTGGCCATTTCTCGAGCCCGTTGACGTTGAAGGTCTAAAGTTGGATGATTATTATGAAATAATTAAGAATCCGATGGACTTGGGAACAATTAAGTGAGATACTTTTCTTGCATGTAGTCGTAATTTCATTAGTTACTTCGTGAATACTTACATTTTCAGTAAACTGCTCAAGATGCTTGTGGAAAGCGATCTTAAAGCTGATAGTGTATTTTGTGATATTAATTATGTCGTGTTAATAATTAAAGGAGACTCAATTGATCATTGAGCATTTTAAAAATTTGAATCTGAATGTATTAACAGCCTTATATTTATTACGCTTAATTTTTAGTTTAAGTGTGGTGTATTACAATTCGTTTACATTTTTTTATGAAATGTGATTTTAGGAGGAAGTTGGATGCGAAGCAGTATGCCACGCCGGATGAATTACGAGCAGACGTCATGTTGGTATGTGAAAATTGTTACAAGTACAATCCATCAACTGATCCTATCCATCAGCATGGAAGAGCTCTGCAGGTTTATTTTTAGATTTAATCAGGAAAATTTTATGTCGATTAAAATGATATCGTCGAAGCATGCTTCAGAAATATTTCGAGGATAAGTGGCATCAGATGCCTGAGGAACTTGCTCTAGTTGAAGAAGGAACAGCAGCGGTATTTTCGGCATCAACTGCAGTAGCATCAGCTGCAGCACCTATGAGTCAAATCACACCACCGACTACGGCTGCTTCACTAACAATTAAGGATGATTCAGTCATATCGGGTCTTCCTTTAGTCCCACTTGATGTTTCCTCTGGTGTTATTGATAGTGATGAACACATTGATCTCATTCTTCTTGCTTTGCAATCAGAAACTGCCAAATGTCAAGAAAAAATATCAGAGCTGCAAAGACATTCTCAGGAAATTCTGTCTCTAAGGTTTTTTCTTTATAACTAGATCAATTTATTCTGGACAAAGGAATTAATTTTTAAGCTTGTTTTTAGTTTATCATAACCATCAAGCTTCCTCATATTTTAGATTGAAGCGAAGAGAGGCTCAGGCAAATCATTTACCAGTGCCTGTACTTTCTGCGGCCACTGTTGGTACCTTACAGTCTTTGGTTTCCACGCAGTTCTCTTTCTTTACGTCAAGTCCACCTACATTTATGAAGCCATCAGGGGGATACCCTACGAGCAGCGGATCCACTTCATTACGTAAAAAGCCCGGTCGTCCGGCAAAAGTTTACCAGCAGCAGCAGCAGCAGCAGCAAATAACAACATTTTCGAACGTACCGCGTGCTAGTGCTGTTACTGTTGAAACTTCTCTTGAAGACCAGGAACTAAAGAATGAATTAGTCTCACCTTTGAACAAAGCCCATCAAAGACAAGTCCAAAATCCAGTACTTGTTGCTACCACCACTGCTGGTCTGCGTGAACCTCCAGCTGTCTCACCTCAAGGAGCATCTCAGAAGTCTTCAGAACCGATTGCCCAGGCTTCAGTTACTCGCAAACGTGGTCGACAACCAGGTTCTAAAAACAAGCCAAAAATTGATGTCTCTCAACCAGTTGTACAAGTAGCAGATGCTCCACCGCGTCAATCTGGAATGAAATATGCTCGTGAAGAATATGATTTCGATTCAGAAGATGAACGCACTGCAGAGCCAATGAGTTATGATGAAAAAAGACAACTTTCACTGGACATCAATAAACTGCCTGGTGATAAGCTCAGCAGTGTAAGTATTCATAGATAAGATTAATACATTAGTTAATAGGTAATATTATTAGTTTTGATGTGTCAGTTATTATTTATCTGCTGGTACTAGAAGGAACTCTTCGTTTATAAAATGTAGGATTTTTTTACTTGATTTTTGAATTTTGTCATTTACTAGCATTTTAGTGTCAGTCATATATTGGAAGCCAAGCTGATACATATTTTCAGGTTGTTAGTATTATTGAATCGAGAGAACAGCTTCCTGGATTCAATCCTGAAGAAATTGAAATCGATTTTGAAACCCTCAAAGCAACAACACTGCGAGAATTAGAAGCATTTGTTGCTGCTTGTTTGAAAAAGAAACCGAGAAAGCCATACAGTATGTCTTTGTTTTTCTCGACCATTTGATCCATTTTTTTGACCTCGGTATTTTTACTACATATAAACCTGCAATTATTACTCTGTTTCGCAATTGCAGCACCGAAATCGCAAAAAGAAGTGGAAATCAAAAAGAGAGAACTAGAAGAAAAAATTAAAGGTTTAGGAGGAGTAATAACCTCTTCTCCCGTAATCAACAGTATGTTTTGCATTCTACTGTTTGATTTTAAATCAGTTTATTGCCAATGTAAATTGCAAATTTTTTAGTATCGTACAAATTTTCTCAAGATTTGTTTTCAGCAGCAAATGGAGCACGGGCAAGACCTAAAACGACGGGTAATGAGGATGATGCTTCGTCTTCAGAATCCACTACCACCGAAGATGATGATGACACAACATCTGGATCGTCATCTTCGGATTCTACGGATAGTGAATCAGGTTAGAGTGTTATTTGAGAAAGTGATCGAAGAATTCAAAACTAATTTCTTATTTTTGCTTTCTTTGTTGGTCAAGATTATTTCCTCAACTCGTTCCTATGTAATTACCTCATCAGTATTTTTTGTAATCCAACTAATTAGTTCAGGTTCTCGATTTCTTTCATTTTTACCATCATGCCAAAATATATCTAGAATGAGGCAGTGAGATTTTGTTTATCAATTGCCTAGTTAAGCATTGCATTTTCACTTGGTCGTTTAGATAAAGATTGTTTATTTATTCAAATGACTGCTATCGTTGTTTAAAGTATGTTAAATTTGAATGTCATTTGCCCGTAAGTGCAATGTCTACATCAGGCAACACAGTTGCAAGCAAACCTCTCGCTACAAACGGTGATTGACGCTTGTCACTAGGAAAGGGTTTTGACTCCATGTAAAAATTTGAGACAAATTGTTATGTGGTAAATATTAATTCAGTAATTTTCTTCATGTTTCTAGATTTTAAAGTTTGTCGAATCCACCGAAACTGTCTTTATTCCTTCTTCGAATGCTTTCTCATTTTTGCACATCATTTATTCGAATGATTTCATGAGTCTTAGTGCGTAGATGTACTCCAGGGAATAAATCGTGATTTGTGTTGATAACCTGAGGTGGAATTGCACTTCCGGTCAAGGGTTCTGTTGTTGGTTAAATTGTTTCATTGTTATTATCTTTTTTATGAGAGAGAGGAAAAAATTGGAGTTGAAAGCGTCCAAATACTGTTGTACCGTATTTCTCATGGTTCTTTTGTGATGTGCAAAATCTAGCGTCGTTTTTATATCATTTTTTATTAGAGTTCACTATGATCGGTTTATATCTATAATGTTTTAGATTTTGTGTCCTAGCTAATAGTTCGGTGATAGTAATGAAATTGCATTAGATCCTGATTTTTTGTCTGCAAAAAGGCAAAAGTGAATTTTCCATACCATTTAATCAGATTTACTTAATGTACAATCTATCTTATATTCTATAAGTCTAGGAATTAGATCATCGAGGGTAAAGCATCTAGTTCTTTCTACTTTTGAATATTCTATAGCACAAATTGTAGGCATATAGTAGTTCATCTGTTTATATTGTTACGTACATCTGGTTTTTGTTTCAATTGCAGTTAATGCTTGATTGGTGATACGATTCTCATTTTACAATCCAGAGATCTTACTCTATTCAGCTTATTGGTGATGGATTGTTGACTATCTATTATTGTTCATAGAGCATTGTTTTATGGAACTCGATTTTTTAGCATTTATAATTTATCTCTCACTTTCTCGATAAATCAGTTATTTTTTAGTGATTTAAATCATGCAGCATAATCAAAATATTTTGGGGAAAACATAGCGTCAATCACCTGTACAAAAGCGAGAGTTTTTCATATTTAGGAAAGCAATGACATTTAAACAAGTGGTATCCATTTTTGACAGGCGGTACTCAGTAACCAAGTCTATAGTAGTCAGTTGCTTTTTCAGAGAGCACAAGTAATTCGAAAACAGAACAGCAAGGACAATATGTTGAGGATGATAAATCCATGGAACAATCAAAGGAAAAGGTGAAGATCGGCTCCATACTTGGTTCTTAGGCAACGTATAAATTTACATATAAATGTACAAGCGCACACTGAGCCATATGCGCTAGGGATTTTTGGAGCAATAATGAATTTTCTGTTGAGTATTTTTAATTTTTGTCCCATCTTGAAAGTGGGTTTTCTCTGGAAGTTATTTAAAATCTGTAATTAGTGGTTGTTTGAAGAACGAAGTGGCACAAACTGTACCGTGCATAGATAATCCTGAACAGCAGGCGACTCCTGCACTACAGCAGCATACTAGTCATTTTCAATTTGGCTCTGTTAAAGGTAATTTTGATTGCACATGATTTAGTAGAGTTGGTTCAGTATTATGCAAATTTAAAATTTTGCTTCCATCATATGTGAATGTCGAGGCGTGAATAATACCAGTCTCGCAGGAGTAACAAACAACGTAACCTTTAATATATTCACTTCACTGAGTGTGGCAAGTTTGCGTAAACTTTCATTTCGAAAATTCTCTGTAATGTCGTTATTGTAAAGATTATGTTGATTCATGCCTTTTTGTTGTATATATGTATTTTAATCAATTCTGTAGAAGATCATGAAGATAGAGAAATTGGAATTGTTGCGGGTAACCAAATTGGAGCTGTGAATTTGAGTAATGCGTCATTATCCGTTGGATCACAGTTACAGCAAACTGGGGGATCAATACTTGATCAGTTACTACCAGCGAAGCAAAATGGTTTGATGCAGTAGTTTTTAATTTTTCATACATGAGGCAATGTTATTCTGCATGACTGATCGGAATTACTAGAGTTTGTGTTGCTGTGCTGTTAAAATCAAGCTACATTTGAGGCAGAGCATTTGAAAAGTGATAGATGTATGAGATCATAATAATTGGGATCAAGAATCTTTAGATAGATGATTTTCATATAGGCACTCCAGAAATGGTTAAACCGTCAAAATTAAAATTGTAATTTTTTTTTAGCTTTTATTTTTTGTGTCAAGTGAGATGATAGCGTTTAGTTCACTGCTTAATTATTTTGTACCTTCCAGAAATGGATGACAAAGCAGGTATAAAAAAGTTGTCAGGTTGGGATAGCCTAGCAAAGAAAAGTCAAAGCGGCAATTTCAGTGCCCAAACGTCGACGCAGTTTGAACTTTTTCGGAAACATGCAAGAGAAAAAGAAGAAAAGGTTTCTTGTTAGAATTCAACTGAGATTAAGTTTTGAGCAATATTCTGCGTGTATTTTTGGTGGGTACTATGCACTGTCAAATTGAGCACATAGTGCTTATAGCGAAAGCAGTTGAGAGTGGAGGAAGAACGGAGACGTCGGTTGAAGGAACAGGAAGAAAAAGAGCGTGCTAAGGATCAAGAAGCTGTCGAGAATGCTGAATTAGAGCAAAGACGACAAAATGAATTGTTGCGGCAAAAAGAACAGGTCATCATTTTTTGCAATTCTTGTTATGAACTACGTATCGTGGAAATTTACATGTAGAAAATTTAGCATAACTTTATTTTTAATAAGCACTTTAATGAATTATCTTACTTTCTGTTATCTGATCTGAATAATTAAAATGTAAAAGGCGCTAGTTAAATATTTTATCAAATTATTTAAAAGGGTCCAAAGAACTGCTCAGTTTGTAGAACTTTTTGGTATCTATTTCAAAATAGTCCAATACCAGTTTGTAGAACTTTTTGGTTTATTATCAGTGTTTGTACCGTACACTAGCTTAACTATATGAATTTTACTTAATCCATTTTAGGTTCAAAAGTTGTGAAACCTTTGTATTTTGAACAATCTGGTATTGGACTATTTTGAATAATCTGATAGTTTTTATACTATTAGAGCTTATGTGTTCTTTAAGTCTAAATATTCAGCTATCGTATATACTTTCGAGTTATAGGAAAGACGCCGGAGAGAAGCTATGAGTACGGGAGGCGATGTCACTAGTCAGATGGATTTAATGCTCAATTTTGAGGCTAACTTTTAGAAATGATTTGCAGCGATTTTTATTTTTATCTCACTGTTTATAACTATTATCAGTACTTTTTCATAAATCCAGTTGTTCACATTAAAAACAAGTCTAAATTATTCAAAATTTTTCTGGAAAATTAAAAACTTCTTTTACTGTTTTTCGATGCATTGGAAAGGATTAATTAAAATCTTATTTGTTCATGAAAGGAAAGTAAGAAGCCTATATTAATTAATCTAATTTTAAAGAATGAAGGCTTCGTGAGATTCAGTCAACAATAATAATTTTGTTTCGAGATTATCTGAAGGTTCTGTGTGTCTTTATTTTGAGCATGTACTGTGTCTTTTTTTTTCAGCTATTTTACTGTAATACTCTTTAAAGAAGCGGAAAAGCATTTTTATAGTATTTCTAAGCGAAATACTAAGTATCCCTATTTTTACGACACATTTTAAAAAGGCCTACTTTATCGTAGCTTTCCCTTTGATTTGTACAGTTTATCTTTGGAATAATTCAGTTATTAATCTTCATTTGTATTTGTATTCTCCTTGGCATGTACAGTTGTTTACAAAAATTGTCTTCATATTTGTCTAACATCCTTGTTTGAAAATGTCAAGTAATTCTTCTATGATTCATCTCAAGTTTACTGTTTGATTGAGAAAGTCGTGCAAGTAAGGAACTGAATCTTTAGTGATTTCAACAAAATAAATAAACTTGATTACTTCTGGTCTTCAGGTACTGTTGTTAAATTTTTTTGGCAATGAAACTTTGGCAATTCGTATGTTTTTTGTGACCTGTTTCTTTGATGCAAGGTTATTTTGGCAGATAAATTTCGATATCTGACGTGCTTTTATTCCATTCAGCTCTGAGTGTGATAATATGTACATGTATTCTTTTTATATGACTTTGGATTTATTCTTCCTTTGCCATGTATTTCTTTTTTGAAGATTGTAAAGTGTTGTACATGCAGTATTGTAATGCTCTCCTGCGGGCACCTTGTTTGGTCTTAAAAAACGGTTGCTTAGTCTGTTTTGACATGTACACAAATAATAGAAACAAGTAAATTTTAGAGTTTTATCCCATATTGTCACAGCTGAATATGTAGTTGACACATTTGTCTTTAATTGATGCATGGGATGAATTTGCATTGAAGAAGTGATATAAAAAGAAATTTCATTTACTTGGCAATGTTTGGCTATTTTGCCTAGTTAACTTTAGCATGTGTTAGCATGTCATGATCACCTCCTTTAATTGTTCATGATCGTTGTATATTTCAAAAACTGATTGGGTCAGGGGTACCTCTTGTGTGCGACACTATATTTATAAGGTGCCATTGTTTTTTGCTTGTTTGTTTTTTGTTTTAATATTTTTCTACGAGGTGATCAGCTTTTCATTACTATTGATCATTTATTATCTTTCACGATCTACGATATATCTATTGTCGAATAAGCTCTTGCTCATATATAGCTTAGTAATCAATAAATGTGATAGATATTTTATTTATCGTAGTATATTTAGCTGCAGTGAAAATTTATGCACATGGAATTGGTTATCAGTGATTGCATACATAACAGATAGTTAATGACGAGCAATGTAAAGGAGGGGTTGGTTTTTTATCTGATTAATTGGAAGATGTAAGTAATAGTCCCGATTTTAATGTGAGAGACTGTGAGTAACTTACATACCAAGTCCCGGTATACTTTCTGTCTAGTTAGGCTTCGGATGTGCACGAGACTGGTTTCTGCCTGGAGACGTTCGGATTAAAAGATTAAAACAGAACCAAAGCTTAATTAGATAGCTGGCTGTACTCCTTGAAGGTTTCACTGTCGTCAGTTCCGCAAGATCATTGGTTTTGCACTAAGTGGGTGCGAGATAGAATAATACTTCAAAGAGATGTGCCAAATATTGATCCAGGAAAGTCGAGCATATCACTGACATGTGACTAGCAGTATGTACATAGATTTATTTGCCTCAAATACCAATGCATACATTTTAAGTCTGAGTTATTGTTGTCGTAACATATCACTGGTAGATGAATTAGTTTGCTGTATTGCTATTGAGATTAGTATTCAGTTAGAGATTATCAGATTGAAATGAGTAAAATGGATAGTAGCTAGTTACTGCGTGCATATTAAATTGTAACTTAAATTTGAACTGAATTTAGCTTTTAAATTACTACACGGAAGCAGATAAATGTATGTGTCAAGTCAGAGGTCAAGTATTGACTTGATGATAATGTTTTTCATTGTAATTTATTGCTTTGTATTGTGTTATTTCCTTTTCATCTTATTTTTGATTAGTACTTATTGTATTTACTAGAATTGGGTTGAATTGATTTTCATTGTTCTAATTCAATACAGAATCAATATTTTACTTTTATTAAAAGATATATTTACAGCTAGCAGTGGCTTATTGATATTTATTTGTCGGAGACGAATAATAATAAAACAATAATGGGAGGATCGATAAAAGCGATTAAATGTTAGTTGCTTTGCTATATTTCTTAACAGTCATTAGAAAATATTGCTTTCAAGAAGCTTTTATTAGATTCTTCTTCGCATTGATTTGATTTATTTGAATTTTTTAAAATTTATCAGTAATTAGTTGCTTATAACCCTGGTTTTGTCCATACTACTGTTAATCATTAATTGATTATCTCTTTGATAGTTCTCTTCACTGATCAAAATCAATTAGTAGTTTTGGGTGAAAAATGTGCTATTTAATCCACATATTAATATATTTATAAATCAATTTAGATCAAAAAATCAAAATCAAATCTATTTTTCACTTATCAAAATCAATTATATTATATATGATATTCTTTTAATCTTTGAATCAGATAGTATAATTTTTTAATTGGAATTTGAGTACCAAAATTTGTGGTATTATTGCGATTTGCATTTTTTAAATATTTCTGACAATATTTCATTTCATTGATATTGAATTCAGTTTTGTATTCGTTTGTTATTTCTGAACGAAATAAATTTATTTAGTAGCATTTCAAATTTCTTAATATCATTTAGGTGAAATGTTGCTCTTCTTGTCGCTGTTCCATGTTTATTTTGTTTCTGGATTTGGTGGCAGGCATAACCCGTTAGAGCACATTGATCAGGCTGCTGAAAAAGTAAGTTTTTTTTTGTTTTATTTGCTAGTATGTTAGAAATATTTGGGGTGATAGCGCTATCGTTTTCAGTTAAAAAAAGTCATCTGTGTGAATTGTAATTAGTGTCAAACAGAACTGTAATAATTTTTTGAAAAGTTAAGTTTACTTCTGTTTTTTTCTCATTAGTTTCTCCTTAAAAGTTCTGCAGATTTTTTTAGAAATATCAAAGTATTTCAGAGAGCTTATAATATTCATCGCATTGATACTTTGATACTGCTGATCTTCGTTGCTTTACTGGTTTTAATTGTTCTAACAGTATGGTTTTTCAAGCATCATCGTTTTCGGTTTATTCACGAAAGTGGTCTCACTTTATGTTATGGTAATTTTCTTTTTTTTTCACGAACATTTGATTCTGTTATATAGACAATACTCAAAGGTAAGAAGAAGTCAAAGTAATTTTTTATCATTGCATTTGTAAATTAACCAAGTTTTAAATGTCTGTAATTTGTAAATTGTCTCAACAACAGGTCTCTTAATTGGGCTTTTATTGCGCTATACAAATATTGGTGTAATTGAAAGTCAAACTATAGACGTTGTACAAAAGAATGGCACTATTGTACGAGAGCCACCGGATTATTTACGGCTTGAAGTTTACTTTTTTTTGAAATAGTAAAGCAGAACAAATAATAAAGTAGTTGTTGTTATGAGCAACATTGTTCTAGTTAATATTTTCAATATTTTGTTCATCTCTGCAGTATTTAGAATTGAAATATATTTTCTATTTCGCGACAGCTATTCATGTTCGACTTTGAAATTTTTTTGAGATGTTTGGATTATTATTGACTCAGCTTGTCTGTTTCCCTTGATTCGTGATATGACTGATTTAATTTTGCATGATTGAGACACGATATATTAGCATTTGGAATTACTTGGTGTTGTATTATTAAATATTTGATTTTAAGGTTGAACTGGCCCGAACACAAAAAGTTCAGTTTCATTATGAACTGATAGAAGGCTTCTTCGGGGATAAAGAGAAACAAAGTGAGCGACATCTTGAACAAAAGGTTGTGAAGTTGACTCTTGGAATTTTATATTCATTGCTTTTCATTGTACATGATTCTTTAACTGTAATTAATTTTATATTTCGATTCTGAATATTGAATATGTTTTTGTCATAATCAGTTTTTCATTAGGCTGTGTTCTCACCGGAAATATTCTTCAATTTACTTCTTCCTCCGATAATTTTCAACGCTGGTTATAGCTTGAAGAAGGTGATACATTTATTTATTTATTGTATCATTAAAGCAATAAATGAGTTTTTGAAATGATGTTTACTTTTGTGAAAAATAAATCGCACTCATTTTTTGCTCTGGTGGTGCATGTCAATGATTGGAAATTAGATTTTCATTCTTGGATCCGTTCTTCTATAGCATGGTAAAAATCACTGATTCCCTAAAAATTTCATATCATAAAGCCTATTTTCAGCGGCATTTTTTTCGAAATATTGGCAGCATCTTAACTTTTGCTTTTGTTGGGACGACCATATCAGCTATATTCATTGGGTAATCTTTTATTTCAGAAATCGAGAAAAAGCTCTGAGTTTTGAAATGATATTCAAAAAATTTTTTTGGTTTTTGTTTGTAACAATATTTTAAGACTTTTGTTTATATGTGTGTACTGCGTCATTTTCGTTTCAGATTAATAATGTATTCATTTTGCTGGCTATTTTCGGTTTCATTCACATTTAAAGAGCTCCTTTTTTTCGGTTCATTGATGTCTGCAACTGATCCAGGTTTGTTGTATTTATTTGCATCTGAGCAATACTGTTGAGATCAAGTCTTGCACGCAATTTTTTTGAAGAAATAAGTTTTGTTTATTAACGATAAAATGCTTATGTTGAAAAGAGCAAAAAATTTCTAACTGGAAGTGGGTGTTTGTTATTGAAATATGAATTGTTCTGCTCTATTTTTGAAAATCTTCAAGGTATGATTGTAATTGATAGTGTGAGTTTTTATAAAAGTTATTGCTAGCGTCGGTACCTGTGATTTCTTCAAGACTGATGATAATACAATTACAAACTTTTAGTAATAAACTCATCCAACTTCGTACCTCAGCAGGTAAATGTCATAAGTAGTGTAGTGGTTATAGCATTGACCATTCGGCACATATATTTCAGGTTGGAGACTTAGTTTGTGTCTCAAACTTGGTAGCGTGTGCAATATTAATATGCATTGTTGCTTCGTAATTCAGCATTTCTATCTCTTGACGTTGCTGTGCTGAACAGTTATGCAACAATCAATAATAAATAATATTTGTGTTTGTAATGTTAGGTAGCTTATAGTGTACTTAATACTATTAGAAATTCTTTGTTCCGTGTATGGTTGATAGTTTTAAGTTTTAATTATTTATTTATTGTATTTAAATTACAGTTAGTTTTCTTTAGCAGTGGTAAAATGATATTTCATTGTATTATACTATTCAACCATTTCTCATTTCTTCAATGTCAATTGATCAAAATGTTCCAGTATTTCTTTAGAAGTCAATCCGAAAACCATAAATTATGCGTGCTTTGACTTCTTTATTGTATATTCAAAACCATGTGATGGTAAATTTTGAGGCTGTTCATACACTATTTTTTCCTATTTTCTACTAGTAGTATATAAAAAAATAATTATTGTTTTTGTTATTTCAGTGTCAATATTGGCTGTTTTTCAAGAGATGCAAGTTGAATCAGATTTATACGCATTAGTTTTTGGTGAAAGTGTACTGAATGATGCAGTTGCAATTGTTTTGTCAAGGTAATTGTTAAAAATAATTTTCGAGTCACAGTAGATTGAATGAATTATTGCGAGCTCAAGATCAGTGACTTAGGAAATATGAAATTTTGTTGTTGACTGATCATTAAATGGTAAATCTGGATTTGCAAAATACTACATTTGTTTTTCGTTTTGAATATGAGAAATTTCAAACTTTAGCTCTGTGGATAACTTTTCTTCATCGGATAAATGGTTGGATTTGGATGCGTTATTTGCTGCTATTGCCGACTTTTTGTCTGTTTTTTTTGGTAAATTATTATAAATTTTCAAACTTTTATTTTATGTTTTGCCTACTTAATTTCTTTTAAAACAGTATTCCTTTTGAGTTTTCTGTCATTTGCTCAAAGTATTTCATTGAACGATTTTAATTTGAATATGAAGGAGGAGTGCATATGACTTTGTATTAATTTTAGGGTCACTTCTGCTAGGTTCAGTTATTGGATGTGCTACGGCTTTAATTACAAAATTAACAGAAGTCAAAGAATTTCCATTGCTTGAATCAGTGCTTTTTATTCTTTTATCGTATTTTTCATTTCTTGTGGCAGAGTTTGTAGAATTAACAGGTTTGCGTGTTAATTTTTATTTGTACCAATATATTATATAATTGCTTCATTTTATGACTGCAGAAATTAGCTGCTTTTGTTGTTAGATCAACTTTGATTAATTTTGTTCAGGACAGTGTGATGCTGTGATTAGATTTCAAGAATTTTAAAATTCCATTCGTGTTCAGGAATCGTGGCTGTTCTGTTTTGCGCTATATGTCAGGCTCATTATACTTATAACAATTTATCTGATGAAGCTAGAACAAGAACAAAGCAGTTTTTTGAGGTATTTGGGTCATTTTATCGAAAGATTATCTCGTCTGTTTTTCTGAGTGCTTTTTGACTACAGGAATAGTTGCATGTTGCATTCCGGAATTGCATTAAGATTACAGTAATGTGATCGAAGGAGATTGATTAGCTAAAGAAAATATGGGTTTTTTATGTTGCGATTGTTTTAATGAAGATTAAAGATATCCAGAAAGATTCTTTTATCTGTATATGTAATTTGAAAAAATGGTGAGTTATGAAAATAATGGAATAGTATTATGTGCTTGTAAACATTGCGGGATGAACAGGTTATTAATATTTCAGGAAGTTTCGTTTTTAATGGAAAGTTTTGTTTTTTGCTATATTGGTGTAAGTGTTTTCATATCACACAGCCAGCAGTGGAGTATTTCTTTCTTTCTATGCACTTTGGTGAGATGCAGTATTGCTTAAAATTAGCTGACAACGCAAAAATATTATTTACAGCTTCCGGCGCTTTGTTAATGATTTTAGATAATTTAGGCATTAAATCCCGAAATAAATTTCATTTTCTTGATGTTCGTTTCATCTTCTTAAAGTAATCCATACTTTCATATTTTTTTTAGCTCGCACTCTTATTATCCAGAGCAGCTTATGTATATCCAGTTTCTGCGGTTCTTAACATTTATCGGAAACCTCAAATTCCGCTGCGTTACCAACATATGATGCTTTTTTCGGGTTTGTTTTCAAGTTTTGATTGTTGGATCATTTACATTTCAAAAATTTTCGCAGAAGGAAAATAATAATATTTCAGTATCGTGTTTGAAAGTATACTGTTTACAGTTGTCCGAATATTGGTTTTAAGTATGATGTGAAATTTCTGTTGAACCTTTTCGAACATAATATCAGTTCATACCAAATATTTCCAATTGATAGTCATTGTTAATACATTATTACTTTTATAGGATTACGAGGTGCTATGGCTTTTGCTCTGGCATATCGTAATACGGCTACTGATAATCGTCAAATAATGGCTACAACTACAAGCATGGTTGTAATCGTGACTGTATTATTCAATGGTGGTCTAGCTTCCTGGTTTACTGAATATGTGGGAATCAAGTTAGTTCCTTTTTTGATCTTCTTAGTGTTGAAAAAGGTTTCGATCGTTAAAAAACTAGGGAAATTTTAAATGCTGCTGCAAATTACCTAAGTTCAGTCGTTTCGAAAGCATACTATACTTTCCAAAATTATTTTTAGGCACGGTAGAGATGCTTGTGATGAATCGCAACTCCAGTTAAATACGGTCATTATTTTAACTGAATCATGGAAGCTCTGTATGATAACTCTGAAAATGTCAGCATGTATTTTTTCAGCGGACGAATATATACTTACCAGAAATGTGTGTTCAATATGTTAATTTAAAAAATAACAAGTTTTATTTGCAGGATGAAAGCCATCCAGACAATATGAATACACCCTCTAGTCTCAGTGGGCAAAATCCATGGGATAAAGCATGTTTGCCTCGAAAATGGTACAACTTTGATGCTACGTAAGTTTCCAGAAAATTTTTAATTCATCTGTTGTCATTTTTTTAACTTGATTGATGCATTCATTGTGCACGAAAGTTTTCTTAGGGATCGTTGAGGTCTCAGTACTTGCTGCAATAGGTTTTGATCTCATATAACAAGTTTTTATATTCTACTTTTTTGATAAATTTCATAATTTCTTGTAGTTTCATGAAGCCATTTTTAACTAACGCAAATCCCACGTTACTGGAAACGTTGCCATCATTTATGGCACCATTAGCAAAAATGTTCACAACTGAGCAGCAGCTAAGCATGGTATGTCTTGCTATCGGAATTATACAATTTAATCATGTTTAAACTAACAAAATAAGATTATTTTTCTATTCAGCATGCAACCATTTTTTTAAGTGAAGAAAGTGATCTATCAAAAGCACAGAGTGCAGTGATGATATTGCGATGACATCATCTGCAAATTTTTTGATTTTATAATCAACATATACAAATATTTAAACAATATTATGCAACTAAAATTGCTTATTTTGTGGCGTGATTCATTTTGACATTTTTCTCATTCTTTGGACAAGATTTCATTTCTTAAATTTTTACAATAATTTTTACAATAATTCTTTGAAAATCATCAAATCTTGTAGTTTAACTTTCACTTCATTTACCAATTGTGAGAAATAATTTATCGTAATAAAAGTGATTATGTTATTTTAGTATACACAAACAACTGATAATGATTTAAATGGCAATCACTCCAGATGTAACGACAATCCATTTTCACGGGTACGCTATTATAATTCAACAGATAGCTTAGCGATCAAGAACAGTCTCTGAAAGTTGCAAAAAATACGGTTTCATCTAGTAGTGGAGAGGTAAAGCTTCCGATGGCCCTTTTACTGTTCGGTCATAATCGGCAGACATTGACTGTTAATAAAAATGCAACAGTTCTCTATAATTATTAAATCCATTTCATTTATAATGATGTAATACAGTATCGAAGTCTCAAAATAACGTTTTTCAAATTTGAAGAGTGGAGTTTTCGAAAATTCAATCATGGGATAATAGTACCGTACCACTCACTGTACTTTCCATTAAAGGCGAATTAAAATTATAAGTGTTTAAAAAATAACAAGAATCGCATATCAAATTTGATTGAAAAATATAACTTTGAATTTGGATATTGCTTTTCAAACAACGGAAAATTTATTTTTATTTACAAACAGTCAATTTTGTAAGCAAACGACTTCCTTAATACCCAACTGCCTTGTCCTTAATTCGTATGTAAATGAAAATCTGTAATCTCTAAGGTGTATTAAGAACTAGATTTTACTTTATATTAGATTCGACTTAAGCACAATTAGCATATTTTGTGGAAATGAAGAAAAATTTTTGAGTCCTGATTTATCATAAATCGATCTCAAAGTTATAAATCTGTAAGAGTGAAGATGCATAAGCTTTATGCAAAATTTTTATGGATCTATTTTCTTATAAGCAAATTAAACAATGCCATTTTTTTCAGTCCGTGGATGATATTGTGGTTACTGATGAAAATGAATGAAATCAGTGAGTTTTTTATGCTGATATTATTTGGATTGTTTATTTGTGAAGCATTTTCCTTACATTCATTCAGTCTTTCCGAGTTCAGACACTACTTAACGATACTTTTTGTATTTATTCAGTAGCAAAACGACACTTGGTTTCTCATGTTAAAGAAATGGAGTCGGCATTGCTCAGATTTATTTATAAAATCAGGCGCAATTTTTTTCATTGTTGGATAAGATAGAGGACTTTTCTTTATAGTCTATTAAAAAGGCAAATAGAAATGAATTAAATAAGAAATTATCACGTCAAAGAAATATTAAGATTCATTCATTTGATAAATCATGATCATATGTAGATTAAAATTTCATTGTTTGCTTTTTTCAGGTGAATTTTATATTCTTCTTGTTTGTAATAGTAATTGACAGAAAGTGCGTAAACTTAGCTTACTTTTGCTACAAACACCAATTCGATTTAGTTACTATTATAAGACGACTGATAAATTTTATGTAGCATCTACTCAATGAAAGTTCTCGAATACAGCTTAATAACTCATAAACTATAATGCAGTCAGTCTTTAGATCCTCCATCTCTTCAATGTTGAAGTTGCCATGTATTTAGTTATCGAAGCTTTGCATTTTACTGTTGTACACAATGTTGTCGATAGTGTTCAGCCTTTTCGTTTTCAGTTATTTATCTTGTCTACAGATAATGACGAGAGATAGTACAGAAATTCCATTAGTTATAATATAAGAATTAGAACCATGTCATCGAGACAGGTTGTTAAGGATGCAATTTAAAATAGTTCACACCTGTGTCCAAGTATATTCCTGGTTTTTGCTGCTTGCTCACCATTTCGTGTTCTAAATGTGACATAATTATCTGAAGGTATGTATGTTTTTATATGTTCGCATTTCCATGCATTATGCAGCATAAACTAATCTCGTCTGGTGCTTATTGTAGAGAGAAAATTTTATACCTATTCTCGAACTAGATTTAAATTCATAATCCATTTGGTTTTATAAGTACCATGTTTTCTCATGCAAATTGGGGTCTCTACAATAAGCAAGCTTGCTTTCGCATTTCTTTTTTCGGGTGATATCTGTTTCAAGATACTGAATTCATAGGTCTCGTCCTTGATGTGTAATTTGAATGTTGTAAATTTACTGAATTCTTGCTTAATATGACAAAATAAAATAAGTATATGTCTAAGAAAATATCTAATCATTCTAAGCAACTATATTCATAATCCGATATAAATTCTCATACAGATATGAAATGATAAAAATTTTCTTAATTACAGCTCTTGACAACAATATACACCTATACTACAATTTCAGTCCAAAAAAAAATGTCTTATTCCCTATTCCATCAATTTCTAAGATTTTAGGAATAAGGCTAGTAAGGTGCCAATATATCAATGACCAAGAGATCAAATTTTACATGAAGTTTATTTAAAAATGTAAAAGTAACAAAACTGAAAGTGGTTGGGTTTAGTTAATCGAGAGATATCAATCCTTTTGCTATTTCACGCAGAACTTGAAGATTTTTGTTAAGCCACCTATTATTAAAAATAATTCTAGAACAGCATTCTGTATTTAATTAGAGACATATCTGGTAAAATCACCAGTAGTTACACAATTAGAAATTGCAGACGGAAACCATTAAGAATGACTTTTCAATTCTTGTTCTTCTTTTTCTAACGCATCTACACGACGTCTCAGACGATCAACTGCTTCTTGATGATCACGGACTTGATTCTCATGATCTTCTATTTCGCGTTCCATTTCCTTACGCAAATTTCTGTACTGCATTTGTAAGGATTTAAGCTGCTCCTTTTCCTGCAAAACTTGTTCTGTCAATTTAACACCTCATGCATGACAAAAAGTACTATCTGAATCGTTTTCCTGCAAAACATGTTATTCTAAGACATATTTCTCTGCTAGTATAGGTATGCGCTATCTTGCACATATCACTTGAAACAATATTGATAGCCCTTGGGAATACAGTAATTACCACATATATCTCTCATTTTTGGACTGACCTACACTATACAATGAGTTTACGAATATGCGAATTAAATTATGATGAATCTATGCCTTATTTCCATAAAATAATCTAAAATTCGTAATTAGTCAATCCTCAGCAGCTAAGCACATACTAAATCATAGATACTAAAGGTAAATTAACAATAACAATCTCGAACGCAAAATATACTCACTAGTTTCTTGAAGAATTCTTCTTCTCGACCAGCCTGAATTTTTCCAAAGGCACCACCAGCATCACGTATCGATCCACCACTGCCACCACCCTGAACACACTATTATAAAATTAAACCTTAATTGGTGTACAATAATGTCACCATTTTACAATTGGTTCTGCACAGAATGAGGACCAATTGTAATTACTTCATTTTGTTATCTCTTAAAAGCTTAATATATAATAAATCTCTAGTTGAACGACAATTGATGTTTAAATGAAGAATAGAAAACCAATAAAGACCTGATAATTTTGTAATGAAGACTTAGAGTTCTTTAAACATTAAAAAAAATTAAGAACTGGGACTGCTTTGTATAACACAATTACAAGCACACCAAAGGGAGAAATAATGAACTAATTCCAATCTAAAAGCTTCTGTGACCAACCAGAAACCTTCTTTTAGCTAGTCGAGCCTTTTTGTTAAAATTAAGAAACATAAAAACAACCTTTCCACTTCCACTTCCGAGATCACCGATTTGGCCCAGGCCACGTTTCACACATCTGCAACAGTACTATTTCATATAATTACGATTAACGATCACTCTTTACCAAGAATATATAATCTTATTCAAAGTTTACTGTTACACCCGAAAATTTCTAGTGAGCAGTGGATTAACAACGTGAAGTATGATGGAAAATGCACAAATAGACATCACAGTTCTACATTCCAGTAAAAAATTAAATAATTTGCATTAATTTACCGAGTAATGCCAACAGCAAGTTTTGGTGAGTGCGTGAGAGTCATTATATGTTCTTGAAATGAATACGAAAAAATTCCTGCAATTTTAAAAGTAAATCTCAACTCTATTACTTATGTTTCTCATTAATGACTAGATTATGGCACTATAAAGGCATTATAAAGACGACATAAGAAGTTACTCACGTTTCTTATATGATTATAAATCTTAATATGTGACTTTCTCTTATAAAAATACTAATCTAATAATTAATGAGCAGATTACGAAAAAATTACAGGACTAATGCAGCAATTCAGACTATTATATTTTAACTCTCTTAATTGAGACACAAATTTTCAAGTCGAGGCAATGCTAGATTACGGTACAAAGTATAATTTTCTAGAAATTACAGTCGAAATAGGAACTTTTCCATCATAAGCTGTTTATTGCTAATAATTTACATGGCTAAGCACAAAAGATAAACAGAGTCCACCAGTAGTACTGCAATTATGCACTCTGAATTCACTAGTGAGCTCGGGTACTGTAGATTTTAAGTAAAATATTAGGTCTTATGTACAGAATAATAAGTGTACTGTGACTTCAATAATAGATTAACAATAAATTATGAGCACTATGGATGAAAGTTGACTGTATCTGTCATTAAATCTGATTGTGTAATCAATTAATCAATCAATCAGATATCGTCACAGTGAACTGTAATTAGAAACTGGAAATGAAAAAAAGCACTTTTTCTTTTTATTACAGAAAAAGTTGAGTAGCTCAGGTAATTAGTTATAAACAAAAAATGAGGGAAGTGTACTGTAATATTGTTGCCTGAGTGCTGTAATCTGTAGCATTGATGCTTACTGTTATCCTTCTTAGCAGTCGAAAAAAAGCTTTGTAAAGGCTTAGCAAACAGAAAATGAAGAAGCATACGGAACACTCTCAAAGATGAACTCTTCCAATCGATCAATAAATGGATTGTTCGTAAACTTTCATCTGACGTAAATAAAGTAGTCAAAAGTTCTTTGAGTGCAACTTTCACTCATATAATTCTTTTTGAATAATAAAAGTTTTTGAGATAATATAACTCAAATTTGTTAACAGTTAAAATTGATTTCATGTACACTTATTAATTATAAAGTTTATGCATTAGAATTTAATCATTTATTGATTGAAATCGATATGAATCAAATAATAAAAAGGTCAATTAATAAGTGTACATGAAATAAAATTTAAATTGTTAACAAATTTCAATCAATAACTAGTATATCTTATTAGTATTTAAGTACACAATATCATTACACTATTTTATAGGATAAAATTGCGCTTACCAAAGTATATATGATGTTTCCGTACGCTTTAAATACTAACTTTCCATTCCTTTTCTTTTCTCATCCATTTTGATTCTCTCTTTGTGTTATTCATTCAATCGATATTATATGTTTTGCTTCTTTCTTCCTTGCGCAAAAAATTATACGCAACTTTTATTACAAAACTTTATCGATCATTCAATCGATTTGTTGATTTGTTGTCGATTGATTAATCGAGTTGTTGATTACAATTGATCAATCAATCAGTAGATTTGTTGATCTATTAGTTGATCGATAAAATCATTAAGTCAGTGATTTGTAGTAGTCGACAGAATTAAAGTGCAACGCTTAAAACATCACACACAAAATATTCATTGCTTACTGTAAGCTCAAATTCTTTCTTCTATTCATTCATCATCCATCGATTCATCTATCCACCGATTCATCTATCATCTCTCTATCCATCTATTCATCTATCCATCTATCTCTCTATCCATCTATCAATCAATTAATCTATCGATATTAATGCATCTACACATCAATTTATCAATAACAATCACTGCTTTCAAATTTTAGGCAAAAATATTTACTCACGTTCATTCAATTGATTTGTTGATCGATTTGTTTGCTGTGGTCAACAAATTCCAAACGTTACGCTACACAAATTTTTAATTCTTACTTGACGTCATAACTTGCGTCCAAGCGAAAAAACTGCTAATAATAATATTATAGGGAATAACTCTAAAATTATAAATGTTAAAATATTTTGCTATTTTGTAATATTTTTGTTTTATTTATTTCTTGATCAAAAAATGGTCGATTTTTGAACCGTTCAAATATTTAAAAAACTTTGCTTTTTTTTCAACTTTTTAAATTTGTATGCTTTTTTGACAAAGTGTAATAGATAAGTCTTAAAATGTGAACTGAAAAACAAGCAGTGAGAGAAGTGAATGCTTTTGAAATTTTTCTTACTTAAAAAGTTTTTTGTTAAAAGTAGGCAAAAAAGCGGCAAAATATGCTAGCAACTGTTTTACAAAATATGTCAAGTAATTTTTTGTAATTAGCGCTTTTTAAATGACTTTGTAGACTAATATCTATCTTTAAGTCATTTGAAAATATCGCACAAATTTTTTTTTCAGTATTTTAAACTATTCAAAAATATTTGGAGCTAAAAATTGATCTTCTTTTGATTAACGCTACTGCTTTACGAAAGTATGTTAGATTGAAAGCTGTTCTGTTCTCTACATCAAATGATTTATAAGTAAAGCAAAACGGAGTATACTGATGAGCAGTTATAATTATGATGAATTGAGATTTATGATTAATTTTAATTTCAATCTACTATTAATTATAACTGTCAGTCCTACCCATAGACAGAGTTGAAGTAAGTTCAAATTTATTTTATGAAAGCAAAGTTGAAATTGTCTTGTAAAATTTTGCATTTTATTAATTAAATATTGCAGAATTTGTTTCATTTCCTCTGTGTGTTTTAATGTTTTAATCATACTTTCATAAGTAATGCTTACAAAAATCAACCATATATCAATCTATTAATTTGTATACTTTATTATTAACATTTCTGTTAATTTGTGTCATAAATGTATTAGATTTTATTCTTTTTTTTGAATGAACTAATTATGTTTTGAATTTTTATTCTTTTTTTTACTTAAATTTATAATTTTTATTTTACTGCTCAAAATTGCAATAATAGTTATGCATCATTTTTTATTGTTAAAAATTTAGACGTATAGATTTAACCTAATAATACAGGGATTAAAAGTTTTGTTATGTTTTATTCAAAGCACGTATAATGCTGAAGACGAGTAGATCGTTACTTGTTAGTACTTGAGTATAGTAAGTAATGTTTGATTTTCTGAATCATTACTTTATTCTTCCTACAAAAGTGCACTACAACCTTCGAGAGTATTTATTTTGGATTAATTTTTTGCTAATAATTTATATAATTCTAATATATTTCTTTTTTTTTTCTAAACAAAATATATATTTTTTATTACTATACATGGCATTTTTCATTACAAACAATATTTGTTTTTGTTATTATCTACAAAGTGTAAAAACGTTTTTTCTCCTTTTTCTTTTTTACTACTCTTATGGTGGGTGATGACTTTGCTTTGCTTTTCTTTGTTCAATTTCTTTTCTTCGATTAGTTTTAAATATTTATTATAATTTTTTTTTGCTCCACTTTAATGCATGCATAAACGTTATTGTTAAAATTTTATCTATGTTTCAAATTTTAAAAAATATGAAATTTTTTTTGTTTTTATGTATTTTTCGCCTTTTTTATTGAAAATATATTGTTGATAGTTTACTAATATTACATATTATTAGCATCTATAAGATTTGTACTGGAAAAAAGAAACTGCTAGTAAAAACTTAGAATTTAAATTACAGTTTCTTTATTATCTTGTTTTTTTTTGATTTTATAAAATTTATATATTTATTGAGATAATAATAATAGTAATAAATTGATAGTCTCATTATTTGCTCTATAATTTCTGATTTGCTTTAAATACATATTTGTACATTAAATGTAACACAAATGTGTATATCATTATTAATGTACGATAGCTTTATCCTGGTGCGAGGTATTACTATTTATCAAAGTATTCATTAAGTTGACAAGTAATAATTCTTGATAATATTTTATTTATCGGATTAAGCATAATATATGATTATTATTTTAATCTTAAATATTTATTACTGCAAATAGGATGGTTCCAAGTATTCGATACTGGTCAATAATTTGGGTGCGAAAACTTGCAACTTCTGCAAATGTTCCGCTAAAGCCAGCTGAAAAACCAGTCGGTATCCCGTGGAAAGATTTAACAGTAGCAGCACTGAAAGAAACTATTGAAGGTTGAAGTTTATCGTACACCAACCTTTAATTCTAAAGTTATTTTTATTTAAAAATTTTTTCAAATGCCAAGTTTGTTACCAATTCTGAAATAATGCTTACGTATTTCATAGGTGAGCGTCGAGTTGCTTTGTCACCACAAGCAGCGGAATCGCTGGTTAGCAAAGGTTTTAAAGTTATAATCGAAGAAAATGCTGGTGCTGCAGCAGCGTTTACAGATGATATGTATCGCAAAATTGGCGCGTTAGTACGAAAAAATGATGAAGCTTGGAACTCAGACATTATTCTGAAAGTACGCTCATTTACTCAATTAATATGCTCTGAAATTTAAAATGCATATTTTGTACAATAAATTTGAATGGAAACTAAAGCAGGTTTGGATTATTCATTTCATTTGCTTCCATAGTATATGAAACCTTTTATAACTTGAAAATATTTTTACTTTGTTTAAAATCAAGATGTGATAAATTATAGATTATCCTTTTCGGTGTGAGTAATTAATTTTTAGGTTCGAGCACCCACAGTAACTGAGTGCACACGTTTTAAAAATAAATCAACTCTTATTTCATTACTTTACCCAGCACAAAACAAACCAGTTGTTGATGCCTTAGCAAAAAAACAATTAACAGTATTTGCGATGGATTGCATACCACGTACAACTCGAGCACAGGTTAATTTTTGATTTGTCACTGATCTGTTTTAATTCGGATAAATTTTATAAATGCTTTATTCATCTTAAAATCAAGTACTTATCTTCCTTCATCATCATTTTTATTGTCTTCACGCTTTAATTATTATATATTAGATCAATTGATTCTTCAAAAATTTCAGTTTAGATCTTGAAATATGAATTTGTTCAATATCATGAAGAATGAATATTTCATTTCAAAGGTTTTCGATGTGCTCAGTTCGATGGCTAATATAGCAGGTTATAGAGCAGTAATTGAAGCTGCTAATAATTTTGGACGGTTTTTTACTGGTCAGATTACAGCTGCTGGACGAGTACCACCTGCGAAAATACTTGTTATTGGAGGTGGTGTTGCTGGTTTAAGTTCTATCGGCACAGCAAAAGGAATGGTAAGAGTTCATTACACTTCTAACTATTGTTAATTATCTAATGGAAAACGCACTTTTTCTGAATTTTTAACCAATAAATCAAAATTCTGATATATTAAATTTTTACTTCTTAATTTTGATAGATTTAAATTTTTAAAGGGTGCTATTGTGCGTGGTTTTGATACTAGGCCAGCAGTAAAAGAACAGGTGGAGTCATTGGGTGCTGAGTTTCTAGAAGTTGACATGCAGGAATCTGGGGAAGGTGCAGGAGGTTACGCGAAGGAAATGAGTAAAGAATTTTATGAAAAGGAGATGGAGTTGTTTGCAAAGCAGTGCAAAGAAGTTGGTTTGCTTACTGATTTTACATTACTTTAAATGGGCAATGGGCAGAAGTAATATAGTAAGTGGGTTTCGTTATCTTTGAGGAAAGATGTTACCAAAATATTTATCAAAAAGGAAAAATAGCAGCTTTGTTTTTCAGCTACAAAAAATTAAGCAATTTTTTGCTAATGACAGAACGTAATTTGTGGACATCTATCCATTCAAATGTTTGGTGTTGCGAGAATATTTCTCAGCTTATTTCTGAAGCTATAGAATTTAGCAAAAACTTTAACTCCAATGTAAAATTTAAATTTTATCAAACAAAATAATCCAGGTCGACATTATTATATCCACTGCTCTTATACCGGGGAAAACAGCGCCACGATTAATTTCAAAGGTATTTATTCTTAGCTGGTTAATAGGAATGAAGAATTCTCGTTTTATTCATGAAACTTTTTTTTGCACTTTAAAAAATGTAGGCTACAATTGCAGCTCTTCAAAATTGAAGATATTTTGATTTTAAGGAAATGATAGAAAGTATGAAACCAGGAAGTGTAGTTGTTGATTTGGCAGCTGAAGCAGGTGGAAATATAGAAACAACGCGACCTGGTCAACTTTATAAAAGTGCGAATGGAGTGATACATATTGGATATACGGATTTCCCAAGTAGACTTCCGACACAAAGTAGCACTCTCTTTGCCAATAATATATCCAAATTTTTGATGTCAATTGGTAAGGCATTATTAGTATGATTAAGATTATTAAAAACTTCATAAATTTTTGATAATTATTGATGAGTTTTTAGGGATTGACAAAACTTCAAGATTATTAATAATATTTTGATGTCTAGTTCATTCTATATTGTTGCTTAAATTTAACTGGTGTTTAAAGCGTGAAAGAAAAATCTTTATTTTCAAAATTTTTACAAGTGTCTCAAAGTAAAAGTTGTAAGATGCACTGGAATAAACTGAAAAAATATTCTCTATAGGTAGCAGTGGATATTACAATGTAAATCTTGACGATGAAGTTATTCGTGATTCCATAATTCTCGACGAGGGAAAATTATTGTGGCCTCCACCAGCTAGGCCTACCCCTCCAGCTCCAGTTCAAACAAAAAAGTCTGTACAAGAAGTAAAAGCTGTTGTTCCTTTATCACCATTTCAGCAAACTCTCCAAAAAGCAACAACTTATACTGCTGGTTAGATTACTTTAATTTTAAAATTTTTGGAATAAATGCAACACAATTTTTGTTCTTCAAAACTTCATATTGTTTTCTGTAAAAATATGTTGCTTTTTCTTCTCTTTGAATAAGTTCGACAGTTATTTTTGATTTAAAGAGGAATTGTGCAAATTTCAAATACAATTCATATGTTTTCAAGTATTTCTAAGGCACATATTTTTGTAACAGAAGTTTTTACTATTATTTTCATTAATTGCTGAAGAAACAAAATGTAAAATGCAATAACGACTTTTTTAGGCTTAGGGTCAGTTAGTTTGCTAGGTCTAACTTCTCCAAATGCATCATTCAGTCAAATGCTTACAACTTTTGGCTTGGCTGGCATTGTTGGTAAGTTTTTTTTCTTCAGATTTTAAATTTTATTAAAAAATGTAAAAAATGATGTTTTATTCAGTTTTTAGACCATTTGAATTTTTTTGTATATCGTAAAAATATTGCTTCTAACTTTATTCTGATTTTTAGGATATCACACTGTTTGGGAAGTTGTACCAGCACTACATTCGCCATTAATGTCTGTAACGAATGCTATTTCTGGAATTACTGCAGCTGCAGCAGTTTATGTAATGGGTGGTGGTTTATACCCAACAAATTCAGCTGAAGGTTTAGCAGCAGCAGCAACTTTTTTGTCTTCTATAAATATTGGTGGCGGATTTTTGATCACCAAACGGATGTTAGATATGTTCCGGAGACCAAGTAATTAATTTCTCTGTATTTAAAAACTTCTGTTTGTTTTACTTAGTTATGTCACAAATATTATGTTTTCATTATATGTTTGTTGTTAAAACCTGTAGTATTTTTCAGCTGACCCACCTGAATTTAATTATCTATATGCAATACCAGGAGCGGTATTTCTTGGTGCTTATGGTTATGGTTTGAAAAATAATTTCTCTGAAATTCACACATTAACATATCTTGGTTCATCGTTATGTTGTGTTGGGGCATTAGCTGGTCTCTCTACTCAACAAACTGCTCGTCTTGGCAACTGTTTAGGTGATATTAAAGTTTCAAAAATGTAGTTGAAGTTCCGATGATGTGATTATTAGTTTGTGTATTAGAATTATATCAGGCATGATTGGAGTTTCTGGAGGCTTAGCAGCGACATTAGGACAGCTTAAAACCTCACCAGAAACATTCATCCAAATTGGGACAGCTATTGGCACAGGAGGACTTATAGGTATTACAATAGCAAAAAGAATTCAGGTGATTTCTTTTTTTGATTAGTTTGCTTTTTTTAGATTTTCAGTTGAACGGATATGTTTGAGGTCCATGATTGACGGATATGTTTTCAGGTCTATGACAGTGTTAGACACAAGCAGTTGCTTATATGTTTGTTTACAGAAAAAAAGTCATTTCTTCGCTTGGACTAGCAACAATGTATTCTTTTTCTTAATAAACATTTTTTTCAGCTCTGTCTTCAATTTTAGGTCACTGATTTGCCACAACTCGTTGCACTCTTCCACAGTTTTGTTGGTGCCTCTGCAACAGCTACTTGTATCGCTGATTTCCTCGTTGAATACCCCCACTTTTTAGCTGATCCATCAAATGCAGCAACTACAAAAGCATCTCTCTTTCTTGGTGCTTTTATCGGTGGTGTTACATTTACCGGTAGTCTTATGGCTTATGGTAAACTGCAAGGTAAAATCTTGTTCGTTTTCATAAATTTTGCTGTGCATTTTTCATGAATCTTTAAGATACTATATTTTGATGCATAAAATGGAATAAAAGTAAATTGAAATAAATCTGCAAAAAGATTATGCGAAAATTCATTTTTCAAATTTGTAATAGTAAGACCATAAATTGTGTCTCACCGTACAGGTTAGTGGTTTAATTATTAAATATGTGAGTGTGATGTGAATTACACCAATTTCTTGAATGTGTTATTATTTCTGCCATATTTCTATGTATTTTCGATATATTCAATTGAGAAGAAATATTGGTTTTTCAGGTCTTTTGAACAGTGCAGCTATAAAATTGCCTGGTCGTCATGCTTTCAATGGTACGCTTGCAGCGGCTAATTTGACAGCATTGGGAGTTTATATGAAATCATCTGACTATGTAACCGACTTATCAATGCTAGGAGCTACGTCACTGATGAGTAGTATTCTTGGTGTTACTTTAACAATGGCCATTGGTGGTGAGTCATTAAATACTGTTTGATCCTGGCTGATTCATATGCAAATGAAATTCCATCGACTTAATAATTGACACAAAGGCAGAATTGTTTTTTAGGTGCTGATATGCCAGTTGTAATTACTGTACTTAATAGCTATAGTGGTTGGGCATTATGTGCTGAAGGATTTATGTTAAACAACGATTTATTAACAATAGTTGGAGCACTGATTGGAACATCAGGCGCAATTTTATCATATATTATGTGCAAAGTTAGTATATATTTTGATTATTTCTTTCCAATGAAAACGTCCTAAAATTTAAAAACGTCTTAGTGATGATAACATTTTCATATAAGTAATCTGTGTATAGCTTTTTGATATCATTAAAAGACTTTCAGGCTATGAATCGATCTATTGTTAGCGTTATTTTGGGAGGTGTAGGCACCTTAACTCAGGGTTCAGGACAAGCTAAGGCAATTGAAGGAACTGCGACGGAAACATCTTCTCAGCAGGTATTATTCTGACCGTTTCAATTCCTGCATTGTTTTTTTTAACTTGAAGCCATTTTATTTTTTTTATTAATTGACTGTTTTACTTCTCGTATTCTGATGGCAAGTTAATTAAAGCTATATTTAAATCATTGCAGACAGTAGAACTGCTTAAGGAAGCAAAAAATATTGTTGTTGTACCAGGCTATGGTTTGTGCGCTGCACATGCCCAGCATTCAATTGCTGATTTAGTGAAAAATCTCCGTCAAAAAGGTGCAAATGTTCGTTTTGCAATCCATCCTATTGCAGGTTAATTTTCGTCTTATTTCTTTAAAGTGCGCGATTCTTCAAGCTATTCTTTCTTTGCTGTAATCACTTGCATTATAAAATTTGTTATAAATTTTGATAAAGTATTTTAGGCAGGATGCCTGGACAGCTTAATGTATTATTGGCTGAAGCAGGCGTGCCATATGATATAGTCAAAGAAATGGATGAAGTAAATGATGATTTCCCAAATACAGACATAACACTTGTGATTGGTGCGAATGATACAGTGAACTCAGCTGCTGAAGATGATCCTAATTCTCCCATTGCTGGGATGCCTGTACTGCGAGTTTGGAAATCAAAACAGGTATTCATTTTACTCGATCGTTCTAGCATATTTCCTTTCCTCTTCAAAATATGTCAAAATTATCGTAATTTTCACAAAAGCTAATTTACTGTTTTCGAATGAATTTATTAATATGACAAAATCTCCTCATCAAAAATGTAACATACTTCATAGCATAAGTTGATTTATAAATTTATTTATATCTTAATTTGATGTGAAGAAGGTACAGTAATAAATTGCTGGTGTCGATTTTTCTTCTTATCCATCTCTTCTCATTTCACTTACATTTTTTTAGTTCAGTTTGTTCCTCTTGAAGTTTTTTGTTTCCTTCACTTTTGCTGCTCTGTTAGAGATTATGTTCGTTTTATGGATTTGCTTACAAAAGTTTTTTTATTGAATTTATTTTGTCATTATTTATTACTTAAGGTGATAATAATGAAACGATCACTTGGTGTCGGTTATGCAGCTGTGGATAATCCAGTATTTTTCAAGAAGAATACGCTGATGTTGCTTGGTGATGCAAAAACCAAATGTGAAGAATTGCTAAGAGGAGTTACTTCAGGATGATCATCTACTCAGTGTTTTATTTGTATTTTAGGAATGAATATTTCAATATTCTTCCATAACTATAGGATTTTACATCTTATTCCAATCGCTCTATTATAGCAACTACTACAATTTTCCATACCTTTTTATATCATTTTGTATAGCGACTGCTTATTTTTTTTTTGGAATGTTAGTAAAGGTCTGATTGTAATGTAGCAGATTTATAGTATTGATTTATTAGTTTTTATTCTGATAAAATTGATACTGATATGGTTGTTACAGTTTTCATGAGTACATTGAAGAGTTAAATCAATCACAAATTTTTACTTTAATTGTCATGTTTGCATTTGAAAACTAATTGCAATCATGCAATCGTGACAAGAATTCATATAATCAAGGAATCTTCGTTGATTATAATTATCAAGTCTGTTGAGTTTTTAATGGTTGCAACATACATGACAATAATTATTAGAATTCATCTTCAACAAGGAATATTAGTTTTGTAAACTAATCTTAAGGCTAAACATATATTCTCTAATGCGAAATTGATTTTCCATATTGTCTGAAATTGACTAAATTTAAACCATATTAGTTATTCCCCAACTATTCTTGAAAAATGACTCGAAAATGACTGTTAGATTCATTAGACTTTTATGCTTTGTTTTATTTTTCTTTAATTTTTCTCAGATATTCCTTGCTATAATTGTCTTGTTCATATGTTTGATTATTATCTGCCGAAGAGGATTAGAGGTCATATTTGAAAAGTAGATCTGGTGACCATTGAAAATGCAGATTGTATATTATGAGAAGTGTCATGTAAGTAAAGAACATTTGAGTAAATTAAGGTCAAAAGAAAAGATCTGTTGGGGTCATAATGTAAGGTTCGATTCACCAAACCACCTAAATGAAAAATTTGAATATTTGAATACAAATAATTTTTTGATTTACTAGTAAATGCTAAACCTTTCTCAGTTACCGTCAAATGTGCAGAGAGCTGCATAAGTGTTGATAAAACATAATTTAACATTCATAATGGTAGTTTTAAGTTCTTATAAAAAAATTATGCAAATTTACTAGTAAAATAATTCACTAATGGCATTAATTCAAATCACAACGTTTATTTATTATTAAACGTTTTACGGCATTTTGTGGTTGGTTTATTGTCCAATCGCTATGGTATATTATCACACTTATAATATCTAATTCTACGCTTTCTTTTCGAATACATTGTCAACTTATTATCAAACAAAAATTATTATTATCTTTGTCAACTGATTACCAAACAAAAAATTATTGTTATTAATTATTAAAAAATATTATTGTTCAAATTATAAAATTATTAAGTGTGGATTATTCCTATTGATGCTTCTTTTGCCGACACTGTTTAGTTTATTTGCATTTGGAACAGTTTTATTACTTGTACGTCGGATATGGACAAAAGAACGACCACGTATGAAAAAAACTCAGATTGCTGCTTTCAAACTTTATGATCAGGTATTCAGTCACTTTTAATGCTTTGTTTTAAGTTTAAAAAAAACGATAGTTATAATGATCATTATCTCATATTTTACAATTATTGTATTTTATACATTGTTATTCATGATTTTTATTTATACATTATTTAGAATATTGGCATTAATTATAGCTTAACTTTTCATCAAGTGAGTAAATATAGTACAGAGAACATTCAGTAATTATTAATTAAATTACTCTTTGTAAACTTTAAGATTTAAAATAAAGCAAATTTTAATCCATATAAGAATTGCTTAAATTTTGTACAAACTTTTTTATGTTAATATTTTTCAGTTATTCCAGTCGTTAGTGCCAAAAGGGCTCAATGATAAATTTTTGAAATTGGAAGATTCAAAATCGAAATAGTCTTGAGATTATATTATTCTAATTTTAGTAAATTTTCATTTTATTATTGCAAAAAAGGCAATAAATAATTTTGCTTGATATTTCTGAATTTAAAAATATCACTCAGCAACTTTGCTAGTTCAAGAAGAGCATTTCTGAAATAGCTTTGTTAAAAGTATTTGAATTTCGGTATTTTTTTTGCATCAGACATTTGAATGTTTTAATTTTTATATGAATTATTTTTGATGAGCACTTAAATTTTCACAGATAAAAACAATTGGCATAGTTTGAGTTTAAACTTATCAATAAAGTTCAAATTTGCAAATAGTATGTGTATGGATTTTTGAATGCAGAAAATGATTGATATTGAATATAGTCGTATGCAAAAATCATTAATATTGCCCCCTACCTTTTTTACGATTAGATCTTTGCAGTGACCATTAGGAAGGTCAGTTTTTCGTAGGTCAGGGGGAAACGTAGAGAAAAGAAGGGCATTAGATCAAAAAATTGACCTTGGTTGTGCACTGACCATTGCAAAAAACGTATAAATATGGCTGTCTAGAACGAAATTCTTCATCTCGAGTTCTGGCTTTTTTACATTTCCTCTCTATGACCTTTTTATATTTACCAAGACTAAGCAACGAGACAGAAGAATTTGGGTCCTTCTCGCGTACAAAGAATCAGAGATCGAGCTACTTCTAGCCAATAGTCAGCCCTTTCTGCTCATTTATTGTTCATTCCTCCTCTACTCTTGGCTTGTCGGCTGGCTGGTCTTCGCTCGTCTCAGAAAATAATTCCATCTTCCCCAAATCCATCTCTCCTAGAAATATAATTTTAGACTTGTGGATGATGTTCCTGGATGCATACACCGGTAGATGTAGATTTCAAGTTTCATCACCGGTAATGCATTCACGAATGCTATCTGCGGTCGTTCCCCATTGGAAAAAGAGCCCCCAAAAGATTCAGGAAGCTGCTGCCGGTGTTTTTGGATGCGTGCCCTGGTAGATGTAGAATTTAAAATTCATCACCGGAATCGCATTCAAGAATTCCAGCAGCGATCGCTTCCAATGCAAAATTGAACCAAAGTCCCAGAACAAAGTGTTTTCTACATGCATTTGCGCTTAACCTTCCCATATTCTGGCTTCCATTCTGTCAATGTCTTCAGTAGATCCAATGGCAATCCAGAATGTAAAAACGTGCTATAAAAAACACAAAAACGCTTTTCAGATGCTAACAATGCAAGCAGCATTCACATGTGCTAGTTTTGTAGGCTTAAGCGTTTCTCTAAGATAGAGCAGGATTTAGTATATTTTCTAAATCCAAATTTTTTTTTAACCCGAGATTCCTAATTGTTGTAGAGCTGTGCGTTCAGTAATGCTGTGAATTTAGTGATTTATGATCTCTTATAAGTAGTGAATGTAATATTGATGGCAGTTATATTTCGGTATATAGTGACATAACGTTTCAAATACTTCGTTGGAGGACCAACATTTTCATATTTTCACGTAAATTGCATTCATAGTAGTACATTTTTGTCAGAGTTAATCTCCACATAGGATGTAGATCAGACCAATAAAAAACGAGGGAGGGTCAACTGTTGGGAGGCCGGTCTTGGCTCTGCATTGACCATTTCTTGAAAAACCAATGAATTCTGTACTCTTTGTCTCAGACTCTAACTTAATCCCACTCACTCTCGGTGACCTTTGACATTCACCAATGGCGCGCAATAGGATGCAAGTTGTTTCCACACACGTAATCTTTTAGATCACAGAGTTAGAAATCGAGGCTCCTCCCCCAGTTCTTATATATATACTTGTGTCATTTGCAATTTTGTTCATTCCTCAATCTACCATGGCTCGGCTCTACTTCCTCATAGTTAGGCTTGACGTTGCTGGATATATAGCTTGGTGATGTAGTTGATATTATGTCATCACCGGTGATATATTCAGGAATGTCATTCGCTATCAAAGCCCGTCAGTTCCACGATTCCAAAGAGCATAGTCGCTGATGTTACTGAATATACAAGACGGGAATGTGCTAATTCATGTATCATACCCGTTAGTTTATCCAGTGATATCATCTACAGAAGCTCCCATCGAAAGTCCCGTAATGTTTCAGATTCCCCAATTAAAAGTTGATAAACCTAAAGAATTTCTTTTCCAACCCGACTTCGCTGGTGGTGTTCATGGATATACTGTCAGGTGGATGGAGTTTAAAATATGCCATCACCGGTAGTATATTCACGAATACTATCTGCTTCCTTCTCAGAGATACAGTTGTCCTCAAATTCCAGTCAGAATCTTGACCACAATTGCATAGCACAATTGTTGTTCATGGATTCGGTCCCAAGTTGTTATAATGATTCTGCGCATTTGAACGATAAGAGATTTTCCTCTGGTTGTACTTGTGAACAAACAGAAAATAGGAAAGTTTAGCACAGTTTACATATGAATATTCCTCGAAAAAATGGTGAGGGCCGGAATCTGAAGATCTTATACGCCTTGTAGATGTATTGTGTTAAAGAATACGACTAGTCGTTGAAGTCCAGAACCCACCCAAGCCAGTATTGCTGATGTTTTTCATGGGTACACCATCAGGTAGATGTAGAAATTTTATCATCACCGGTGGTGTATTCACGAGTAATATCTGCATTTAACTCAACCTAAACAGTTCTAAACCAAGTAGAAACCCTGGATAATGTATGTTTTAGTGGATCAAAGCAATGCGTGGTTTTTTAAGAGGGATATTGTTTATCCGTTCCGCTGTATAAATAGTCTAGAATTTAGCAACGATTCACACGGAATATAAAGAATTTTGGCCGCTCTCGGCTTTCGTGGGTATACTGTTTGGTGGATGTAGTTCAGAAGTGTCATCACCAATACTATATTCACGATTGCTATCTGCAGCCTATCCTCAAATGCTGCTATGTCTCGCTTTATCGATGTGTATGCTGATTCAAATAATATTTTAGACACAAGTAATACTATGCACCTTAGTACAGATTTAGTCCCAAGCTGTAGTAAGCAGAACATTTAGAATCTTACAGAAAAAATAAGCCAGAGTCTAACGATTCATCCATGCTCACTACGCTGTGGCAGAAAAAGCAACAAATATCGCAACTGCTCCCTCATTCACCCTACTGAAGAAATTCGTATGCTTCAGAATCGAAACCCTCACGAGTCAATTCTGCTGATGTTTTCCATGGATGTACCGTCAGGTGCATGTAGGAATTTTGTCATCACTGGTGGTATATCCAGGAATAATATCTGTACTTAATCCGTTATGTAGGACATGGAAACCAAGTAGAATTTTACTGGTACTCTCAAGGAAAAGTAATTTCATAGGTTTTTGCTCCTTTGCTGACATCTAGTAAAAAAATAAAATAAAATAAAAAATCCACACGCCAAAACGGGCTTTCATTAATGTATTTCTTAATGGTTGCAGTTCAGAAATCTAGTATATTCACGAATGCAGGCTGTTTCAGAATGAACGGCGATATTCATTTATCCCTGTGCGCTCACCATTTCACTTTTTATTAAGCTTTGTAGTAGATAGTTCTTAAGATACTCTCACCTTTATCAATACTGCAGATGTCTTTTATGAATATACTGTTAGGTGCATGAGAGGATTTAGTCATCACCGACTGTATATTCAGGAATAATACCTGCAGTTCATCCTGACCGTAGAACACCCCATTTCAATTTACTCCTTTAGCCCTCAAGATATCTCTGTTCCCTCCAGCCCTAATCTGGCACAGGAATTATACAAAGCCAGGTGTAGCCTTGTGATTTGTGTTATTGATGAAAAACGGGAATCTCGTAGATGCTTGCTATATTTGTGATGTGATAAAAATTCATTGAATTACTTAATTTTGATTGGTGCTTATGTCACTCATCCATTCGAATAAATGGAAATCATACAAGTCATGATCAGAACTACATTAAACCACAAAGCACAATACGAATATGATCGTGCTAATTCTCTGATTACTTAATAAAAAGTCAACGAACACATGTGATTAAGGCGAGAATTGCCTTCGCCATCATTACACAGTCCTATACCTATGTCTTGTAAATCTGTGAGTAGATTAGTAATCAACGCACTTAAATTACAGTCCCAGTTCCGCTGTTTTCGAAAAAAATATTTCCGCCCTCATAGATTGCCTTGTCTAGATCATATCCAAATACAAACATTTTTTTAATAACAAAATGGATGATACTGAGTAATTCTCACTAATGATGATCTCGAGTGCTTCGTCTTCATACCAATAAATTTAAACTTTTATGCAATCAAAAACAAGCACATATCTGAAGTCATGTTGTGGCACTTCGTCCAACATCTTTATCTGCGCGATTTTTAAGCAGCTGCTCGTTCCTTTCGTTGATTGTCTTAGTTATCTGAGCATCAGTTTTAGCTTGTTGTACTGCAGCAGGCTTCTTTGGAGCAATTGCTAGTCGATGTCCTTTCTTCAAATTTTGTTTCTTTGCTTTCGTATTTGTTTTCTGTTTTACACCTTTGGGCAAGGAAATTTTCTTCTTTACATTATGCTGCACCATCTTTCTTCTTTGCCTTCACACGAGAGAACTGCAAATATATCATACATTCAATAGCAAACTTATGAGCTTGGAAAATGATACTCATTGAAAGATTCTCTACAACTAATTTTTTTTAATGCACGTCTTGATTGTATTCAAGACACTAATTAAAGGCATACATACTTAGTTTTGTAAGAACAAATACTTGGTTTTGTAAGAACTAGTCAAGTGTAAAAACAGCGAAGGAATTCAGTAATTGTGTTTATACATCAATACAAAGTTTCTTTTAAGATATAGATTTCATTAGTAGCTTTGTTCACAGTCTAACACCTCGAAAATGTTGAGCAAGGATAATCATCTAATCCAAATCATAAACAAAATTACTAAACAATCTATCTTAAAACTGCACTAGCGAATATCACAACAAATCCGAAGATCGGATTTAATTATTCCACAAACAAATTCCATTTCAAGGGCGGAAATAAGATTAAAGAAAACTTCGGGATCTGGAGTTGACCTTATTATCTGTACATAATATGGACTCACACATAAAACTTAACAACCATCACGTAAATCTGACATAAACGATTGAAGATACTATTTACAAAATCACATCATCACCAAGTCACGCGAGTTCTTAACATTATTTTGGATAAGTAGAACTAGCGAGCAATTAGTGGAGTGATTGACAAAGTTTTCTGCAGCTCCAACACAGGCACTTCGAAGTGATTTTCCCAATCAAATGCAATAAGCAACCGTGAATTTACTGCCTGCTCAATGCACCACGGTAAGTATTCTTTCACAAAAAAGAGACGATCTCTAAAATAAATTTAACATAGTATTATAAGCCGTGAATCTATGTCTTCTTTATGATATAAAGTAACCACAAATTCCTATAGCTTACTTTGGAGGAATTATAAGACTACCAAACACGCCACCAAACAAACAAACAGGTAAACCAAGTTGGATACCCTCGAAGTACTTGACTGTAATCTAAAATTACTTGATAGTAAAGGAGAATTGCTCACAAAAACAATGAAATCTGATAAAGCTTTTTATTGCTAGAAAATGTTTCGAAAACCTATAAATTATAAAATGGATTCAAAGATTCAAAGACATCGGCACAGTTATAAACAAACAAAAAGTTCATTCAGTCTTATGTATTAAGTGCACGTGTGAGATAAGAAAATAGTAACAAAAATTACCTCTCCAAGTAAGCTTACTTTCATCTGCAAAATCACATGCACAAAATCGTGCACTTCGCGATATCTCTGCATGATATAGAATAAAACTTCATCATCAATGAACTAAAAATTTTCTTCTCAAAGTCTGCGCTATTACTATTTGTGATAAATTATCCATGACTGGATCATCACAAATCGAGAATAGAATTGTACGAAGTGATTATTTGAAAACAAATCACTGAAAAAAATATAACTGAAAAACCTTAACAGTTGGGCGTTCATCTGGTGTTGTATTTAATCCTTCAAGAAATAAACTATATTCTTTGCCAAGTGTTCCACGAGGAAGCTTTTGACAGTAAGATAAATCGACCGTTTTAGTGGTAATTTGTGGACGGTCTCTATATGTTTCATTTATAATTGTAGAATCAAAATAACGGACAGTTCAAAAAAAAAATTGGGAAAAAAATTTAGGTCATATTTTTTTATTAAACACATCAGGAAACTGTAAATATTCATGCTCTTATTACTAATTTAGAGTACAAGGTTTCTTCTACTTTCAAATCATATTTAATTTAAAAAATTCAACCTCAAAATTTTCCTTCCACATACATCATTTTCCATTCTTTGCCGAATATTTTCTAGTATTGGTCGAAAAGCTGTTGTTTCACCCATAGCTGCCACCATGTCTGGAAACAATCATTCAAATACAGTCAAATAGAGCAACCATCTCCAGAAAACTTAAGATGGACATCTGTTGATGCGTTACATAACTTTTCCAGTTAGCAATTCTCAATTCTAAAATGAAAGTATTAACCTGCTCTTAAAGGATTATAAAGTGCTGTTACTGCCGAACCAAAGGCAAGTAATCCCTTCTGAAATAAAGTAGTGGGAATATGTGATGCATAAAGTTGAGCCATTCGCTTTCTTGTTACCTTAAAGACAGTATTCATCTTTATAAATATGGGACTTGGTTAGTTATTTATCGAATTTAAACAAAACAGTTTTCAAAGTCTAACTAATACTTATTTTAATGGTATGTTTATTGGGAAAAATAATGCAAAATGATCTATAGTATTTACTTCAAACTGTTTTAGCTCTGCTTAGCTTAAAAAACAGTTATTCTTATCAAATTTTGGAAGTATTAATTTTACTTAAAAGAGTAATAAATGCCATACTTGGTAATATCGATAAGATCGATGCCTTTTTTAATTTCTTCTCCTTTATCTTTTAGTATCTCTTCGATATTACTGAGACCACCAGACTGTGGAAACCATCCCAAATTATCAGCAATTAAGTGATGCCTTTTGCAACTTTCACAAGTTACAATAACAATACCCTCTTTATAAGCTTTTTTTGAGAAGATTTTTGGACCCTGAAATTATAAATTTCAGTATGTATAAAACTACTTTCTTTCTATTATGCAGCAACCATTTCAAACTAATAACTGGCACATTATTGCTGACAAGATTAGAAAATTACGAATATCTGAACTGGTAACTCCTTATAATATGTAAATATGTAAATATTCGTAAAGACTACTTTCTTCAACAATACAATAATTTTCCATATAACATTAAAAATTCATTGAATTATATGGAGAAAACTTACTTGTCGAGTTCCACACACCTTACAGGTGTAACTTAATGAATATTTTGCTTGCGAAGATAAATTTACTACAAAGGTTTGCTGAATAAAGCGACTCGTAAATAAGCGTCGAATAGCCGGAAACACTGAAAGCATCAACGGTTTCTTGAAGTAGTATGACTTAGAAGATTTCCAACAAAGTAATTGAATACTTTACTGAAAGTAATATTAGTGCTACTTGTTTCTCTTCTGTTTTACATAACTTGACAAGCAATTTTCAACAAACAACAGATGACTTTAGATGTCACATGACACGCATTTCACAACATATTCCAAGTAAAATACTGCCAGTTTTACACACACGTTATGTTCTCCACACACTTTGCGTCCTTCTAATAATACTTTCACCATTCCTAAATAACCACGCTGACAACAGTATAAAATCGCAAATTGAGTCGAATCCTAATATCTGTTTCATAAACTCAGTTAAACGTAACGTCTCTCAAATATTATGATCATGCGTGAGCATTCTTCTCTGCTTTCAAATTTCGTCAATATTTGCTAATTGTCTTGATGTCAATGTTTAGGAAGCTTTTCATAAAATTTCTTTAAATCTCTGATTATCCTCATTCTAGTGTACTTTTTACAAATTCACCCTCGGTAGTACTTGAAGGTCTTTTACCTTTTTCAGTTCCTTCTAAAGAAGTAAACTTTTTATGAATATAAGCGACTTCACTGAATGCCAGACTTAGCTCCAACTGTTAAGCAGATTCTTGAATGCATGAAGTTTCTACTAAAGTCTTGCTTGTCAACAAATTTCTTAATATTGTAATGCAGCAAGTAAAATTTCTCATTATTTATTTGTTTAAAAAGTTTTTAATTACAGGTCTAATTTGTCTACTAGCTTAGATCAGTTTAATGCTATCACAGATATACTTTATAGATAGTGGAACACATAGAATAGATAATTAAAACAGAATAGATGATAATTAATACATAGAATAGATAATCGAAATATAGAAGTGACCACCAAATTTTTGCACGTAATCGTATAGGAACTGTATAGACAATATCGTTTCTCACTTCCATGGACATTAAAATTACAGGATATGCTAAAAATAAATCTGGAATAAATAATGAAAAAAAGACAACAGGATATGCTAGAGATTTTGCAATACTATTTTATATTTTGAACATATCGAGAAGTAAAATACAGCAATCAGCAAACAAGTATGGAACAGAGAAGAGTATCTTAAAGATCAGTTTCAAGAAAAGCATGATAACTTATGCATAATCAGCTAGAAATTAAAAGTGTTACAAATAATGCAGTACAGGAATAGTATATAAGTATTCCTGTACTTGAAAGGTTAAAATAATAAAAAGAGAAACGGGATAGAATTTACGGATGCGTCAGATATCCCCAAATTATCTACCATAAGTGAGATAAGTTTCCGCTAATGCAGTACTGTAGTATCAAAAGTGAATTCAAGTTTGTATTGGTGTCATGTAATTCTATTCTGAACTGTTATTGCAGATAATGACTGTTTTTTTATAAAATCTAGAGTAAGTAATGAAAAATGAGGCATGCAATGATGAACAGTTTCATTCTGAATACTCATGAATTTCATTCAAAGTTTTATTGAAAAAACTTGCTGAAGGATCTTATTAATAATCTCTGTACTTGTCTGAGGGTAGTGCAGACTTTTTCATAGTCCATGATGCATTATCAAACGCTTGCAAAAATTTGCTCGGAAGGACTGAGAATGAAGTAAACTTCATAGATGATTGATATTCTGTAAATCAAAAAGCAGTGTTCTTGAAGCACAATTTTTCAACTTAAGAAGTCATAAATGCGATCGATGTATGACAATTTAATTCCATTCCAAATTTTAGATCATTTTTAGATTTCAGAATGATAACAGAAGCAAATAGTTGACTACGAGTTCACTGATGTTAGTTTTAAGGTTCCATAGACAGTATGAGTGAAGATAAATAACCAGTTAGTGGAATACCAGCTGCCACGAATTCTTGATGTGGCCACTCAGTAACGACTTGCTCCAAATTGTTTGAAGACTACAAAAATAACTTCTAAATCATAAATTATATGAAAATACCAAATACAAAGCACTTATCAGTGGAGTCACGTAAGGCTGTTAAAGATCAAAATCTGTCTTTGTAATATCCACGACGTTCATTTTGAAATTATCAGTATTCAAAATAATTAAGATTTTTTTTTAAAAATTATACTTTAATTTATTCATAAAAACAGAAACAAAATAGTATGCAATGACCAAAAACAAAAAATGATTCTTCATTTGCTTTCATAATTATTACTGAATTTGAATTGTGTTTGATTCAATTAAAAAGTACTCAGATATCAATATACATTAAAAAAAATCATACCAATAGATGTAGAAACGAATACGAATTTTGGAAAAGTTCAAATTAGTTCAATAAATAAATAAGTGAGTTAAATTTCCGTGAAGATTGTTGCTAATTCAACTTTGTTCAGCTAACAATGAAAGTTTTATGTGGAAAAAAGTTAAGCAAAGGTCAGTTATAGCTTTTATCAAATAAACAAAATTACAAAATATAATTTTATATTTTTTGTTTCTTTTCAAAAGGTCAACGATAGCAAAAACAAAAAACTTGGAAATCTCAGCATGGCAACAATTTTTATAGCCTAATTTCTGATGATCTCTTACAACCTAATTTTATTATTTACCTGTACACTCATTTGTATTTACGGCAATTTTTTTGTGTATGCACAAAAACATTGTAAAAAATATTGTTAAAATATGGTAAAACTTTCAGCATTTACTCTTATAAGTTTACTTAAAGCTTTAGACATTAAAAAAAATCATACAAAAAATATTGTATGTCTAAAGCTTTAAGGAAACTTATAAGAGTAAATGCTATCACGTTAAAGCTTTATCTTTACGTCATAGCAGTTAAAAGCTAAAATGGGCTTTTTAATCCGCGTTAAATCACTTGAACTTGCGTCATAGGACATGCTTTCCAGAACTTTTTCATATCAAAATTGGTTACAAGAATTTCTTCTACAAAGTTTGATGGTTAATATTTTACTAAAGGTATTCATATGTTAGCTTGTAACCATCAATTTTGCACCTGCATGAAAAGGAACAAATTTCTTCCCAATTATCAACAAAAATTATCTCTATTATCATATAAAAATTTAGTAAAGTACGGAATTTTATTTTGAAAATCACGTAAGTACGTGTAAGACGACTGCCCGACAAACATGCCACAAAAATACGAAATACTACACTAATCACGTGTTAGACGAAATACTATACTAATTAACAGTTCTGTTTTAATTTTGAAATTTAAAACAGAACTGTTAATTAGTATAGTATTTCGTCTAACGTATAGTACCGAGATGATGGGAGTATGACGTACATGTCAGCAAACATGAATTTAAATTACAGTTTCAAACAATGTATTGAAGTAAATGCCTGAACGCTCGACAAGTGTGGTATCTGTCATTCAGAAATATTGTTAATTTCTCCAATACTTCCATGTGTGGCATCTAAACGTGCTTTGATTGCTTAAAAATCAAGTAAAAGCTTGACACGTGTGAGAGTAAACGTATTTTTGTTCTTTCTCAGTGCTACAAGGAAGCACTCTAGTTTCAGTATGCATTGTGCTGACCTCGCAGTGACTTCACTTAAAAACTCTATGAACTACATTCATTTTTTGTTTTCCTAGAAACGCTTTATTTTGTGTGAGATAAAAATTTCATATTGTTCCTAAACCTTAAACGCAGTTTGCGTACTGTAACGGTTCACGTGCCATTTTGTCACAATGACTAGAGAAATCCTGAAATTTCCGAGTATTCTATTTTGAGTTTGCACTATTAAAGTAAGTTTATATTAGGAATTCTCTGTTCTGTTCCGCTTTGTTATTTAAATTTTCATCTCTTTCATTAAGTTTTTATTGTATTTTTAACTATTTTCGTACGTCAAACTCGGCTGAATATCACGTAACGTTAATAGACGTTTTTGAATTTTACCTTTTGAGCGAATTCGTTTGTGCAGCAAAAGTGAAAGATCAGAATTCTCTATCAGTAGTGAGCAATTTGATGTGTTTGCCAGCAGGACATTTTTTCTAGTACTAATTGTCATTGTCTGAGAGCACTGGTTAAAATCAAAACATAAAATGTTTCTATTCACAGCATAAAATGCTCATAATTTGTGAAGAATTGTGTATGAAGTCTTTTATTCTTTTTTGTACTTTTGTTACAAAAATTATGAGCTAGTGATAGTTCATTGTGATATGGATATGACTTCATTTATGTTATTGTAATATTATTGTCTTTTTATTGTTTTATCATTTGCATTAGAATTGTGCATTTTTCAGTTGTTAGAAATGCCAGCAAAGCAGCGGATGAGCGTAGCAAATTCAGTTTTCAGTAAGAATGTGTTGTCGAGAGGCAATGTACAGAAAACTCTTGTAAGTTCCGCATCTTTCTAGTGATTAGTAAATTTTGCCTTTGAACTGTGAAATTTTTTATGAATATCGCGATATTTATATATTCGCAGATATTTATTTTC